GATCCAAGTGCTCCTGCGTTTGCTCCAGCATTTGCACCGGCGCCTCCAGCAGCGCCATTACCAATGGCAGATCCAGGCGTTCCATAAATAGGGGCACCTTTGGTTGGAGCACCATAACCACCGATTCCACTTCCAGATCCAAGTGCTCCTGCGTTTGCTCCAGCATTTGCACCGGCGTTTCCAGCAGCGCCATTACCAATGGCAGATCCAGGCGTTCCATAAATAGGGGCACCTTTGGTTGGAGCACCATAACCACCGATTCCACTTCCAGATCCAAGTGCTCCTGCGTTTGCTCCAGCATTTGCACCGGCGTTTCCAGCAGCGCCATTACCAATGGCAGATCCAGGCGTTCCATAAATAGGGGCACCTTTGGTTGGAGCACCATAACCACCGATTCCACTTCCAGATCCAAGTGCTCCTGCATTTGCTCCAGCATTTGCACCGGCGCCTCCAGCAGCGCCATTACCAAAAGCGGATCCAGGTGCTCCATAAATAGGGGCACCTTGGTTTGGAGTACCACCATAACCAACATTTCCACTGCCTGATGCACCAGCACCAGTACCAGCATTAGCTCCAGCGTCAGCTTTGCTTACTCCACTGGATCCAGGGCCGTAAGTTGGTGCAGAGGGTCCATAGATAGGGGCATCCTTCGTAGGAATACCGTAGTTACCATTGCCTGGTCCAGAATTTCCAAATGCACTGCCCGATCCACTTGGTACAGTTTCGTAATTTATTTGTGGACTGGCAGGTATGACTATAGGAGCCTCTTTAATCGGTTGACCGTATGCTCCACCAATTCCAGCTGCGTTTGCGCCAGCATTGGCATTAGCAAGGGCCCCGGCATTTGCTCCTGATCCTGTAGTCGGTCCGTAGCCTCCTGGTGCACTGCCCTGACTGGGATATGGTGCTTTAATTCCCTGTGTATTTCCAGTTGTTGCTCCACTATTATCAGATACGTAATGTCCAAGTTCATGTGGACCTCCAGCTTCCTTAGCTCCAGAGTTAAGGAAGGGATTTTGTGCACCGAATTGTCCTTGAGACCCTCCAACTGCGCCAGCATTTGCTGCAGCGTTTGCACCGGCGTTTGCGTTAGCATTGGCGCCTGCATTTGCAAGTCCTTGACCTTGACCACTCAGGAATGGATTGTACGCTCCAATGGGTTTTTGTGCATTGTTTGGATAATAGTTTCCACCCTGAGCTGGCGCTGATGCTACTGGATATGCGTTTCCATTGGCGATGGCGCCTGCATTAGCATTAGCCGCTGCGTTGGCGTTTCCTTGAGAAGATCCACTTAAGAAAGGATTGTTCGCCCCGATAGAAGTGGTTGGAGCACTTCCTGGATAGTATCCCGATCCTTGAACAGGGCCTAATGATCCAGGGTAACCACCGTTGAGGCTAGTACCAGCACTGGCGATCGCTTTTGCATTAGCGTTTGCGTTTGCAAAACCATTAGCATTTGCGTTTGCAACGGCATTAGCGTTTGCAACGGCATTAGCGTTTGCGTTGGCATTGGATCCTCCATAGCCGGTCGGATAGTCAGGTTGGAAGCCGGTTGGTTGGTTGTAGTTACTCTTTCCAAATCCGCCTGCTGGAAAAAGGTAACAATAAGTAAAAAGGAAGAAAAAATTAGTTGATCTTTCATCGCGAGGACAATTTACAGTACGTGCTACATAATAGAAGTGATACATAGATGTATATTACAATCGTGTTTTTATATCTTTACAAGATATCAGTTGTAGATCAGTATAAAACAAGAAACATTGAGAAGTAATGAAATTAATACAAATTTTAAATTCACAGTCATCCCAGGCTGCAACAAATCCTCGTGTTAAATGTTAATCATAGTAAGACACAAAAGAAACGAAACATCAGCTTCCTGTTGATTAATAACAATTCACACAAACTTTACGTTAGTACTTATCGATCTGAAGTATATGCAAAGAAGAAATTCTCTTAAACTCCAGAATAAAGTACAGGTGCGTCAGTGCAGTGCATCAGTGCAGTGCATTATCGTGTCAATTTACACACCGCTCATCGATCACTCTCAGCGGAAGTACAGTCAGTTAAATCAACAGTGCGACACAAAGTGATTACAATCGACACTCCTCTTCAACGCGAAACTGTGTGTTCTTTAACCGCATGCATGCCACATCAGCTGTAAATCAACTGTACACCGTCCAATTTCCGTCCGAACGAGCTCACCTTGGCCATGCTGCGGCGACTCCTCGAGTACGATCACGACGGTTTCGGGTTCTGGACCAGGTTCGAGATCAGGTCGGGGATACATCGGTCTACCGTATACCGGTTCCTTCATCACTACCACTGGAATCAGTGTGTCCCCATTGTTGGGAGGAGGATGAGGAATCTGTGGAGGCTGCCGAGTTGGAGACATCGGATGTACGATCACTTGTGGACGCCCATGATGATGATGATGATGATGATGATGATACATCGGAGGAGGATATGCAGGAGGTGCATAGACTGGAGGAAGTGCGTGAATCCCTCGATTGTATCCCTCGAAACGGTATGGAGAACCGATTAATGTTTCAGGAGGTCGTCTTTGAGGAATGACGAGAGCTTCACTGGCAGAGGCCGCGTTGCTTTGAATATTTCCTGGAGAATAGTAACCAACCGGTGATTCTCTGCCTCGGTTCGATTTCGAATTGGCATTTACACCTGCATTGTTCTGGGTGGTTTCTGGAGAATAGTAACCCTTCGATGATCCTGTACCGCCGATATAATTTGATTTCGCATTTGCATCTGCAATTGCACCAGCGTTACTCTGAAGACCTCCAGGAGAATAGTAACCGCCAGGAGGCCTTGTTCCGCTAATAGAATTTGCTTTTGCATCTGCACTCGCAATCGCGTCTGCATTAGTTTGAAAAGTTCCAGGGGTGTAATATCCACTGAGTGCTCCCCGGCCGTTATTCCAAGTACTTTTAGCATTCGCATTCGTGTTGGCTGCCGTATCGATTGGAGCGTATTGAGGGGAATAATAGCTGGTCGCTGATGCATCGCTATTAGAGACAGCATTGGCATTCGAATTCGCGTTGGCGTTCGCGTTCGAGTTTACACCTCCGTTTGTATTAAAGTTCGCATTAGCATTTGCACCGGCGCTCGCAACGGCGTTCGCGCCAGAATTACTGCCGTGATTCGCGTTCGTAATCGGTTGAAAACCGGAACTACCGTATTCTTGATATTCTGTTGGAACGTAGTCGTTGCCAGCGGCGTTAGAATTATAATCTGGAGAACCGATGTAACCTATGTTCAAAGAAAATTCAACGCTTTTTACGCGATCGAAGAAATTGCTTGGCGCGACGTAACAGGAAACAGCGATTTGCTTCTTGTTTACTCTGACATAAGAAAATCCTCCGATTACGAAACGTTCACGAGAAGATGTTCGATAATCACGTTGAAGAACGTGTTTCGTATTTAGATCTATTTGCACACTTTCGCAGATTATTTTCATATTGAACATTCTCGATCAGTCAGGTATTCCGTTTGAATATTCTCTTGTATTAAATACCTTGAGCGTTAGCAGTTGCACTGGCGTCGGCCTTCGCAGAGGCTCCCCCAAGGGCCTGAGAATTCGCGTTGGCAGCGGAGTTCGCAACACCATTGCCTTCGGCCGTTGCCGAGGAGATGGCTACAGTGCGCGAAATTGAAAGTGGTCCTAAATCCAAGTGGTGATTGCTGCCGAACGAATGGCTCGAAGATTTAGGTTCCTTGTGAAACAGACCCAGTGGATCTAACAGCGTGCCTTTGTGGTTCTTTAGCGCATCCAGGAGCACACCTATAAAGCAAGATTGGTATTTGTGTTTTAAAAAAATGATCTATGGAAGATATCTTAATAATTAGACATAGTAATTAAATTAGATATTAGCAAAGGTTTTTTTTCGAAATTCCGAGAAAAAAAGAAACTGCAAATAAAATCAGAAGACTCAAAGGGCAAAAATAATTGCATCGAAAATAATTAGTGTCCTTCTATTCGTTTCCTAAAATACTCTTTCGTATCGTAACACAGTTAATTTTTGCATCGCCTCTTCACCACCCTCGACACTTATCCGCTAATACTCGAGTTCTAAATAAGACAAAAACTCACCAGGTCTCGCGGACGAGCTGCCTAGGTATAAGAGTACCAGCACCGGCACAAAACACTTAAGAGATCGCATGTTTCTCGCACTCTGTGAAGAAGATACACGAATCCACCAACTTAATCTTGCCCACCGCTATCGCTGCTTCGAATCGATAATCGCCGTGGTCGAAGAGTCAAGAACGACTGAAGCTGTTGAACGAGACAACAACTTATATACGAAGCATCGGTGGATTTTACGTTGGTCAATAATTGACCGTCGGTCACTGTTGCTCATTGGTCTCCTGTATTCTATTCCTTTCCCCCATACGGACTGATACTTTCAACTGGAAACTTCTTCGATAATGTCGATAGACTTTCCGAAAACGATCCTGATCTTCTAGGAATCGATAGCAGGGAAGCACCGACCGATAATAATTTTGTGGTCAAACGACGAAACTTTCACTGGTTAGCAGCGGCTAACACTGTCAAGGTTAAACCGCTTCGTCGAACTGTTTCTCGTTTTTCCATGCTCGGGTATTTTTTCTGTTTATTTTACAAATCACAATTCGGTTTTCCGAATGAACGAAAGTTGGAAATTTGTCGAGTTACCTGGTATTATCCGAACCAAAGACAGCACAAAGGGAAAATCCTGGTGATTTCAAAGATACAGAAACGCATCAGCATTGATCACAAAATTATTTGAAAAAGAGGATATTTCGATAGAGGAGAGGTCGGGGTCAATAGGTAAAAGGACGAAGCGTTATTTCTGAGACAGATATTAGAAATTAATTCATACATATTGAAAATATTGTTGGAAATTTTAGCACGATGCCTTGGATAATAATTTCAGACAGCGAATATGTAAATAAATATATGCGAATAAGTTTTGTATTCCGTAAAATATTGCGTGGCTAGTTATAATTAAAAATAAACCTTGCAAGGAAACGTTTCTCGAAAAATAAATTAGTCGTTAAATTGATCGTTTCCAAAGTTGATCATAAATGTCATGGTATTCCAAGCCGATATACAGCAGGGAATCACATTTCAATGTACTACGAGTATTTGTACTGTTTATCTGTGGACGATGGGCACAAACTTGGAGATTGTCTGACATTATAATATTGTTATATAACGGGTGACAGATTTGACAAAAAAATGATGGACACCGATGGAAAAACATTACTTAATAATCTGCAGTTAAGAGAACCATGACAATTCCATCGATGTATTAACGAAGCAATTAATAACTATGAGTAAGGCACAGTGCGTAGGAGAAGATAGTAAAATCGTGGAAGAATCGGAGAAAGAAGGATACGCGATCTTATAAAGATCCGGCATCGAAGGCGTTTTATAAAGAAATCTCATTAGCAACATGTATCTGACACGAGCTACCGTAGAAGTCAGATTTTCAGAATTATCATCAAGAAATGGATTGGTGTTTCTGAGAATGGAACCTGAAAACCTGGAAAGTTAGTTGGAAATATCAGTGGAATGTTGTTGGATGCCGCGCGGCACTTATTTATTTCTCTTTGTATTTATCGGTATTAGATAATTGGAATTTTATGATCGGTAAACGACGCGCGCGTAAATGATGGTTGACGTAATGACATTAGCATACAGGAAAATTCTGATAGCGGTATCTCTTCGTAAGAAGCGCTGAGAAAATATTTGAAAATAATATATGTATATATGAAATCTTCTTCTCATCATGTGTAAATATTCCCTTATGCAAATATCAGATAAAAAGATTTATGACGATCGATCTTAAAATATAAATACGGTCGATGTTAAAGTATGGATAAAGTCGATGTTAAAATAAAGAACGCCATAAAATCACAAGGGGAAATCCAGTGATACAAACGAATTCCCATCGATTAGTAATCTCCACTCTCTGCTGTTTGTCGGACGCGACAGTAATTTCTTGACCCAATGAATTCTGATATTAGGTCAAGGGATATGTCGCGTGGAGTTACCAAAGAAAAAATTATTGATACGTATTTCTCTGAAATGAATTAAAAATGTTCAGTGTCCGGTATCTCCTGTGTTATTGGTCGTTTTTTCTTCTTTTCTGGCAACTAGTTTTTGTCCCTCTTTTTCATTCTCAAGCCCGAAATGCCATTGACGTAAGCACTTGTTTTAAAGGCAAGGATACATGTCGACTACAGCTATCCTACGTAGAGATCCTTTTGCGAAAGAAAGTTAAAGTTACGCTTGCGACATTCGAACTCTTTCGCAAAGGATTTTGTTCTCGTCCGAACAAGAATTTATCATCATCTTATGCGAGCCTCTAATACATAATTTTTCGATTTAATCATCGATAGATCGACACATTTATGATCGTTTTATATATTGTGTATCGATTGTAGGTTTCCGAGTAGTTTTACAATTTCTATTTGAGACTCTTAGAAACTGGTATCTCCAAGGTCAGGTTCAACGACTGCTAACCCATTGGGTATATTATGCGAATATTTATGGAGAATACAAAAAAAAACATTGATCGTGTCCACTTAACGACCAATTCGTCTTCGAAAAAAAAAAAGAAAAAAAAAATATCAATGTCGTCGTTTGCTTTGGATTCCAAGCATAGGTATAGAGAATTTTAAAGCTAACAGATGATCATTTTAAATCTTTGAAATCGTCTCGATACTTGGAAGGAACAGAAATAGCGATTGTAAAAGGAGTAAGAAGACACAAACGTGTCTCTGCGATTATGTAAATTAGGAATAAAAACCGGTTGATACTATAAATGAAGGGCGCAAGATAAACCTTCGGGATAACCCGTCCGTTCTATAATTTAAACTGCACAAGATGTCCCTCGAAGATACATCGTTGATATACACTATTTCTGTGTAGCTCGATTTTCAGGAGAAAGGTCACAGCCAGATTCCTTTTGTTAAAGGAACTGTGAAAACAATAATTTTCATGCTGGAGTTTGAAAAAAACAAAAGGTAGATTATCTTTGAGCGATAAATTATTCTTTTTTAACAATGAACATCAACGCCTATCGTATTATTATCTGCAGTTAAATCTATCGACGTCTAACGAGAAAATATAGAGATACGAAATACTTTTTCCAGTGATTTATTTCTCTGAAAGAACAATCGTGCCTTTAGTTTGGTTGCTGGAGAATCTTTCATTATAAATTCAACGACTTGTCCGCAATGAGATCTTTATCTATCTGTACATGAAGAAAGCGATCCTGTTATTTAACGTTCATGCGGAATTAAAAATTAAGCGGGATGATAAGCCAATAGCCTTGCGTTTATATTGCGCATTTACGACACAACTGTAACAACTATAATAAGAAAAATCGCGATTAGTAAGTTACATTGCTTACGAAAATATATGATGACAAATAGATTTCTCGAAATATTTTCACGGATTCTAATACAGCCGTATGATTTTTCATTGAATATTCCGAGGTTTCCACCTACGTCATGGTAATGACGACTCGAGACGGACACGTACCGGAAGCAGCGTGATTTAATAAACAGTTCGCTATAAACATTGTTCCGATCATACACCTTGAACCACTAGTTAGAAATTCCAGAATCTCGTGAGGGAACTTCTAATTAGATTCAAGCTGGAAATCCCATTCTCTGAATCACACTGGGCAAATATATAAAAAATATTTCGATTTCCATGTTTACAATTTATTTATCACGCCTACGATTTGTCGACATTTCGCTATATTTTATACTATAACTAGCTGTACCTTTTATCTTCTTTGAATACTATACATTTTTGTAGGATTGTTCCATAATTTCCTGCGATTTCTATTTCGAATTTAAATCTAATTAAAACTGCTTGTTACATATCAATTTCTATTTAAATAATATTTCCTCTCCGATATTAAAATATATAATTTTACGTCGACGGTAGAATATTACCATCCGATAAAATGCCACAACAAAAATCCCAATTGAAAAATTATTAATCGCTGAAACTGTCGAGTAATTGTGAAGAAAATTGAAGTTTATACATTTATTTTGCAAAAGCCGAACGAATTTATTGATTAACCTATCAATCTTCCCTTCAGTCTGCGTCCTTTGACCAGAACTTAGGAGAACTTCGTATAGATCTGTTCCAGAACTCGATATCTGGACTACACGGAACGCCAAAGGCAAACGCGCGAGGATATTTATCTGAATATATGCATGAAGTCGTGTGAACGTTCGATGAGTTTCGTACGATATCAAAATTCGAGTAGGCAATTCTCGACGACAAGAAAGAAGCGATTTGCTGCGTAGAATTCAAGTTCTTTGGGTCAAGTGCCCCGAGAATCAAGCGAAACGAGCACGCGTTGCTGATACGGAACTCGCATTCTTACGAAACCAGACCGCGAAACATTTCATTCACTCGCTTCGCCTTGATGACTCACTCGCTGAGCGAATCGTGTTACACGCGCGACGAAATTCGATGGCTGCCAAGAAAAACCCAATGCGCCAATGCCATGCTTACGTGACGATCACGCACGCGTTAGGCTGTTCCCACATGGAGATCGAACGAGATAGTCGATTTGCATAAGCGTTCTTTTCTTTCTGTGAGCATTCGTTGTTAGCGGACAGAGGAGGGCAGTGGGAAATTTTCGGAAGATAAGTGAAAGAAATGTACGATCATCTGAAAATTTGATAATGAAATTGTCGTTGAATTTGTTTACAGAATATTTATAAAGATGTCTATTTCAGTGAATGATGAAAAATTTGGGCTGTGGATATTTATAGTACAAACGCATATTTCCATGAGTATGACTAAAAAATATGGAGCCTAAACAGCAGTTTGTTTCATTTATCAAATATTGTGACGTGTACTCGACTTTGACGTGCATATATTTTTTATTAATATTTTTTGAATATTTCATCCATGAAAATAATATTTTTGTATTAAAGTATGAGATAAGAATGAAAACACGTAAAGCGTGAAATATCTAATTTTTCTAGAAGTTAAAAACATTAGAATGTTTGAATCTATTTAATCGTAAATAATTCTCGAACTTATAGCCCCTTTAGGACTGTGACCCGGTTTACAATGGCTTAATCCTTGCGTCATACTGTAAGGCGTCATTAAATATCGCGCGACTATTTCTTTCGCGTCAACTTAAAAATAGAATTTGCATAAACGGTAGCTCAAAAGTGAAACATTCGTTTGTATTTCATTCAAAAACTGCTCTTAAGTAATACACCCAATTTATATGAGAAAAAGCATGATCAGTGCAATACGCCATTAGCTTTCCGGTAATGGGATAGTTTTCTTCTTGAAAGTCCTCTTCTTCTAACTCATTTTCCCGGATACCCACTTTAACATCGATACTCTGGTAAAATGTATTATTTTGAATAAAAAAGATAAAATTTAAATATTGGAACAGGTATGAAAATAGAAAGGATAAGATAAAATTTTAATTTGTTAGCTTTCGGATTAAAGGTTCGAGACGATTTTAGTTAAAAATCACCTGTTTAGAATTTAATGTGGTTGACGCAGTGCCCACTGTGAAGATTTCGGCAACATCGACGATAAAATCAAAGGTCTTTGCTTCTCTGAAGACATTTTTGAAAGATATAAAAGCTGGAGAGCTTCGAGTGATCACGTAAGGACCCATAGGCTTTGGCAAGGAGCAAGAACCGATCAAAGGGAAGCTTAAAGACAAAGGAGCTGTTAATCGTTACATTAAAACATCGAATTACCAGTTTCACTTCTATTAACATTTCAAGCGAACAATCATGTACGTGTGTGAAAAAGAATATCAGTACGAATTATGCTTTTACATAAATTCTCCGGCAGTGTCCGAAGATGCTATCAACGTGGCAGTGGCATTTTCAACATCGTACGGCTCGTAAATTACGTCGATTATACCCTCGCTTAGTTCATTCACTTGAATATTTTTCGGACACGCGAAACACTCACTATCTACCTAAAAAAGTAATAAAGAAAGAAGCACGTGAGGCTAGATGGACTGTATTTTCCAACGTATCAGATTGCTATAATATCACGCACGTGTATCAAAAATATGGCATTCTCGCGAGTGAAATTTTTCACAGGAAGCGAGAACGCGTAATTGCTTCCTAAAGCCGCATTGACACGCGTGGTTTTCTCTGGAGGAGCGGGACTGGCCTTCAATCGCAATTCGTATGGAAATCGGCCCAGCTTGTCGGAATCAACATTTAACATGACATCGTCGGTGATGAATGGCATCGTTGGATGATATATTATAGTAATATACTCCTGCAATTTTCCACATTTCAACGTTCCAAGTATTTAAAGGAAGAAGAATAAAACGACGCTAGATTAACGAGGATTACACACGTGCGATAGTGGTTGCACGATCTTTGACACTTTGGTAACAGTGACAAATGGATGAAGACACTCTGCTGTAAATTTGATCGTTTCACGTTCGAGGGGATTCTCCAGTTTCAAAGGGTAACAAATCTGGGATCGGGCAGGGGTTGCCAACTTGATCGATTCGATTACTTCCGGTTCTGTTACTTCGTACTCTATCTCGTAGAATTGATATTCTTTCTCCACGTTGGTGAACGTTACCTGCATCGAGCAAAAATAAACATCGAGCGTCGTGAGAGAAGGATACATCTCTATTTTTACGTTCTATTAGAAATGTTACGTACTTTGAAATAAAAGTTCCATTTCTCGTAGCAATAAAACACTGCTCGGTAATCTCGCAGACTGTTCGGTGGAACGTCGATTCTTTCGTTACCTACGAAGCTATATAGAGGAATCTGTCCACGAAGAATGAAAAACGGTAAGAGATTTATGTTCGAAGAGCTTTGAAGCAGAGCACACGATATCAACACTATAAAAATCAATCACCTGTGATTGCGTGTTATCGTTTGTTAACAATTCGATCTTACATTGGAATCGCTGTTGCGTATTTAACCAGTTGTGAACAGGCAACAGTTCGGTATACCTTGTTTTCGCGGGGAATTGACGGCTTATCTTCTCCGTAACTCGAGGTGGCAAGCTTCTGCCACGAAGAAAATATAACAAATATAAGTTTTCGTCCTGGGATTTCAGCATCAGCGTTCCCTGCACGAATAAAAAGAAGAGAGAAACAGCTTCGTATATAAATTTCCATTTTGAACTTTGATTTATATCGGTTGACTTTCTACCATATGCAAAGTGTTTTCAGAGTTCATGACCAGCGGTGAATATGTCACAACACAAGGAGCAAATTGTTGCGAAGGAACTTGCAACGTTTCGTCGGCGGAGAAGTAATCTCCGGTTACTTCAACCTTCAACTTCCAGGTATGGGTGGAATCGTTCATTATAACCGCGGATCGAGTTTGCTTTTCTCGTACCAAACACTCGAACGCGATCGTTTCGATCGGATCAGGTAGTTTGCAGCACGCTCCGCTAATTTTAACCCTCAAAGATTGGTACTTCTCAATCTCCATTACTGTCTGCAAAAAAGATACCGAAAGTAGTAAGGAAAAATAGTAAAAAGAAAAAATTAGGAAATATACTTGTATCGAGAACTCGTCAAAAATCATAATTCGGCGTTAATCTCGTTACGAAGATAGATTAAAGATTGTAAGTAGGCTGTTAAAAATAATCAGCGGTCGAAGCCCCAATTACTCCGACGTCAGCGGACAATTTTTAGCTCGTGTAATCTCGAAAGTTAAACCGACGCGACGTCGAGGACGTGGTGGAGTGGCGGGACACGCGTGCAGAGAATCTCATTAAGAGATTGTTTGACATATTTGTACGCCGTGACGGGAAATGAGGTCGTGAACTCACCTCACCCTCAATTAAGTTACGCTGCTCAGGGGGTTGAAACTTCACCGTGAAACTGACATCCATACCGGCCGAGCAGTAACCGGACATAGGAGTAATTTGGAAATCTTTCGGCAATTTCGATGTGTTCCACTTGAATCTAAATTAGTTTTCCTATTAACAACGTAACTTTAACCTCGCTTTATACTGGGTGTTTCGGAAAGATTAATACAAATTTAGGGGCACGCGGTGCTTGTTTAACTTTATCATTCTTCGTGTCACCCTTTAATTGTATTTATCTAGCTTTAACGAATTTAAGTTTCAAAGAAAAATTGAAATAATCGTTATCAACATGTACGATCTCTGGTTTGAATTTTTTGCTACAGATTTTGGTAAAATACACAGTGTAGATAAGTAAGTAAAACAATCAAATGATATTTTGTTTCATCTTTATTAACATTCTTTTGATTGTTTTAATAAACATTATGACAAAGAAAGAAAGTGAAATTGTTAAATAGTTTCCTCAAAGCAAATTTCCAAGAAAAATTAATCCTCCTACGTTCTATTTTTCTTCTTTTTTTTTTTACCGCACGCGTACCGAGCGAAAATTCAAAGTCGATTTTCTCGAAAACAAAGCCTCAAACGAAAAATTTTTATTCTATATTTTCGACTTCTTTTTTCGCGTAGAATCACCCCCTTTGCACTTGTACCACCAGTTAACAACCACCCTGTATATCCTTGTAAAAGTAAATTCAACTACTTCAGGGGTAATTAAATAGTTGAACGAAATTAGTTATCGACAAACCTGGAGCCCAAATCTCCGATGTTCATTAATATCACCTTAGACTCTTCTGTACAACCCTGAACTACAGTACCAAAAGAGATATGGTTCCTATTTAATCGAAATTCCGCTCCTACGCAACTTCCGCGCACCGAAAACAATGGCAGGATCATGGAAGACGATTGAAAGGCCACTTTAGTTTCGAACGATCTTATCCTCGATGGAGATTTAAAAGTGACCAACACGTTGACCCTTTTATTCGGCTTCAAAACTACGCTCGACGATGGTTCGATCTTCAGAACGTCCAAAAGTTTCGGTTCGCCGGTTTCAAACCTTTGATCTATAGTCCAGGAACGCTTGATCTCCATAATGGATGCCTGAGCCATTTCGCTCTCGTCATCCGACGGGTCACAATGTCTCTGACTTTCGCGGTACTCGTCGTAGCCATTTAGATACTTCATGATCCCGAACCTCAGATCAAGCGGTGCCAAACCTTCGTTTATCACCGGAATCTTCCTTACGACGCTCTTGCGAGCGGGAACGTTACCAAGATCTATCGATTGATCGCGCGGGTTCACCAAACGAACCTGGAAAACACTTACATAGTGTAACGCAGGATATCAACGCTAGAAATTCGAAATACGCGCTTTTTAAGATAGCGATAGGAAAGGAAAGGTTGGATTTTTCATTCGAGATATGAAGATTGCCATCGTGCCACCTCGGATTTTGGGAAGTTCCGAGAGATTAACGTTTGATCCTCGAGCGAATTCGAGTACGTATCTCGCCGAAACGTTAGTTAGTGTCTCGTGAGAGTTCCTCTTTGAACGCGTAGCACCGAGAAACTTGCTTTGTTACGCTTTCCGTCGCGTCGACTTCACTCCGTGGAGAACCGGATCCCGGTCGCGAAAAACCTGACGAGCAACCTCCTTATCTCTATACGAAAGTTTTAACAAGCCGTTGCTCAGTGCAACATGATGGATAATTTACTTTATAGCCGATGCCCTCGCCAATAATCGTTATCCTCTTCTCGTTTGCCGAGTTGATGGTGAACACCAAACATTCGTGGTACTTAATCTCCTTCAATGGTCGAAAAACGATCGGTATGGTGATCGTAGAGCGTGCAGCCAGCGCTTCTGATATCGAATTTAGGTCGATGGAGAGGTGTGGTTGTTCTTCGAATTTACATTCGATTCTGTGTTACGATAATTGCGTAAGATAAATAGAAAGGATCACAGGCTCGTTAATACATTGACGCTAGAATTGCAAAACGCTTGAATCATTCACGCTGTAATAGTCGTATATGTAACATAATTATTTTAGTTCACTTTACTTGCAGTTTAGTTTAAATTATATCGTTTAATTACAGTATGTATCGCGATATTAATTAACAAGTTGATGAATCTCTTAATCAAATATGCTAATGTGTCCGAAAATTCAGCCCACGAAATTATAAGTTATAAGAGGCAAAAAAGACGCAACGAGATAAAATAAGAAGGATAAGAGGAATAAAATAATTTATAGCGAATATTTTATCGATTATACCGTCTAAAAATATCGCGCAGTAATTTTAATTACATCAGGTTCTGAATAAAAACGCCTGGATACTTTCCTGGTGAATAACGTACAGTTTACAAAAAAACGTTCTAAAAAGTCCCTGAGCATTAAAATGTTAAAATAGCAGGTTACATAATAGTTCTGGTCTTTACAATTAACGGTCAGTTTTACAATTACGTTAGTTTAATTGGCAAATCAGTTCTACCCCTGTCCACTGATTTCCGCTGTACCGAAGCTGAGCTGTAGTCTTATGACACGCGATTACTATTAAGCGTACAGAAACGAGCGCTTAGAAACTCTTATAAACCGCAGACGAGAGATACAGCGACCGTAAAGCGGTAAATGACTTCTAGTCCTTCATTTTTTATTTCGACGAGCGGTAAGAGGAACCTGAGAAAGTTCTAAAAAATTTGAAAAAATTGTAGCCTCGAGGGTTCACGTCGTAAACTTAAGCAGCTTAATTTATCGTATCCGAGGGAATGATTAACGAGGAACATCAGCCAAGCGTGATATGCGACTTTGATGAAATTTTGATCACGAGTGAATTTTTACAAAGAAACTCACATAAAAGCTACATCATCGGAGTTTGTTACACGAAGCTCCGCGTAATAGGAGATTGCATTGTGTTGCTGAATGTAGCAAGGTCCGAAATCGTAGCGATTGAAGCTGAATTCGATGGCAGGTCTTCTGGACGTAGCTTTCAACGTGAATTTGTAAGTGGGACCATTGGATATCTGAAGAGAAGTAGGAAAGATCGTTACACTTGTCAAGTGAGATATTTCACGCAGATCGGAAGATTTTTTAAAAGTTTTCTTGTCGCTTGCGATTAGCGTACCTTTAGAAGAACACAATGATCCTTTATTGTAACTTTTTGATACGTTGTTAGGGTCAAATAACAGGCGGATCGATCCTCGCTGGTCACATGGCCTTGCTTCTGAGACGTGGTCACGCTATACGCGTTTCTGCAGGAAATTTCCGGCGTCATACCGAGCTCCCAAGCGTAATAGAACGCTACTTTACACGCATTCGTTATGTCGAACTTGAGATTAATCGGTACTTCGGGCATTATCTTCGAGCGAAAACAAGACACGTTTTCATTTCTTTTCAATTCGCCTTGTTGCATCCTTAACACTTTGACTGCCACGCCGAAATCACATGTTTCGTTCAGGACGCCACAGGAGTATTTTTATTATTCAAAGCATATAATGGCGAAATAATAATAAATTGATGATATAAGACAATATGCTTCTCCAATGGACCGTTTATGTTGACAACATTCTTCCCCAAGGGACCGTTTATCTTATTGGTGGTCACGGGTGATCACCGTGGCGCCTTGGTAACAATTGATAGCGACATATTATAACGAGGCTTCTTTTATTTCAACAAACCATTCGCATTCGTTATTTTGTCGTAAGCAAAACGTGCAGAATATATTGTTGAAACATGTAGAAGATGTCAGTAAACGGTATTTGCTCATTGTATATACAGGGTGGTTGGTAACTGGTGGTACAAGCGGAAAACTATTTTCTCTTTTTTTAATTTTTCCATCGAGACAACGATCTACAGTGAGATCCGTTATAACGTACCGCACGCGTACCGAGCGAAAATTCAAAGTCGATTTTCTCGAAAACAAAGCCTCGAACGAAAAATTTTTATTTTACATTTTCGACTTCTTTTTTCGTGTAAATCACCCCCTATCCGCTTGTACCACCAGTTACCAACCACCCTGTATAATAGTAAGGTATGTGCACACTTCTAACTTCAATTATATGATTATAAAGCAGCATTTACGATTATTTTCTAAGATGTGTTTACAATAATATTCGTAGATTACTCGTCAAAGATATGGATGCAAACACAGTGCACGTTAGATGCAAGATTTGTTCTCATTTTTTTTTATGTTCTAATAAAAATGTTTAATCGTTCAATGGGGCACTTTTTGTCTCAAAGTATCTTCTATTTATCGATTATATTCAAAATGCCCTAACTGTCAATTTTTATATAATTTTTACGATTGTAAGAAGTTCAAACGCTCGGGTCACCAATGACCACCGTGGCTCAGATCAACGTGGCAGTCGAAGTGTTAAACGCGCGTGACAACTAGACTGCGAATACTTATACATTTATGTTAAATTTGAAATTGCAAAATCGTATATCGTGCACGTGGTATACGTAAAACGTACAAAATATGCAAGAAAAAAGTACTCGTTATAAAATTTAACAGCTGAAACAAATCTCTGATTAGCTTCTATTCCTGTAGTTGTATTCGTAGAAATATAAATTTGTATAAGCATCCCCAATCAGCCATGACATTTTCCTTTTTTCTTCCTTAGTGATGTTCGGAACCGGTTTATTCACCTTGCCCAGGTCGATGACGTTCTCCTTACTCTCGGAAGCTCGCACGATTTCGCCGTTGAGCTTGCAATACGAAACCGAGGACACGATATCGTAAACGGAGGCGGTCACGAACATGGTAAGGGGATTTTTCATCAGCTTCACGGCGCATTGAATGGAAAAGTGGAATTCACCGACCTGGGTTGGATGATACTCGACCCTGTGGACGAATTAAAAAAAACATTCATCCTATCATTCTGCTCGGTATCTCGCGTAGAAAGCGTAAAATTCGAAAATCATCTGACAAACGAGAAGGATTTCGTGTTACTGATATAAATCGATATTGGAAAAACAGTAAAAGAGGGAAAATCGTATAGATAAAATATCGCAGAGGACGTTGTGTGAAGCTAAAAAATTGGTTTCAAGATAAAGAAGAAAATGAATAGTACTGAACCAGGGGTAAGAGTATTTAAAAATATAGATTTTTAACTATTGTTAAGAATAACAATGACCAGAAATGTTGCTCGCTCTTCGAGATCAGAGTTCCAGTCATCGGCGTTACGCTAAGCTTTTGAAATTTACCCTCGGAATAAAGCGATTCCTCTAACACGCTAAACGGTATATGAAAATCCTCGTTGTTCAATATTTTCAACGAATCTCTCACGTTGAATCCTGAGAACAGAATAAAATCCGCTGTGAGGTTGTACATACAAGCGGTAGAAACGAATGAAACGCGACACCCTGTATACAACTGTGCTCCGAATGAGAGAACAGAAATGAGAAAGAGAAACACGTTGGGTGGTTCACGGTAAGAATGCTTCGAGTCCAACCTAAGATCGTTGGCTTGAGTTTCACGTGAATCGTGAGGCAGTACACCGACGGTTCGGTTACGATGCCGACAAGCAGGAAAAGGCACTCCAGATTGTATCTATCGATGGAAAAGAGCCAGAATGATTCAAAGACGCCGATGTTCTCTGCCAAAAATGTGAAAGCCAGGTCGGTACGTTTTCCACGTTCGGCAATGCCCTCGGTCACCGCGCAATGAAAATTCGATATCTCGCCTGGTCCAAGAGGCGATCGATTCGTCCATGAGAAATAATAATCGTCTACAGTGGGGTTGATCAGGTGGAATTTTCTGAAATCGTACATTTTTATTTTTATAGCTTAAGCATTGTTTCAAGGTTCGCGCTGCTGTAACGAACGCTTCGATCGTTGTTCGAAGAAGATTTCTTTTTATTTACTTTTCTACTAAACTTCGTTAAAGCAAAACGTCTTTTACAAACGGTACAATGTAGTACACTTACTTCACATGAGTTCCGGCCACGCCAACCACTTTAAATTCGATTACCCTAATGTTCTGCCACAAAGTGGGATCGTCTATTTCATATCCCAAGGGACCAGGTAGCGATGGATCTCGTCTTCCACTGGTTACGTAGTCGCTATCCTGTACGTCGAAGTGACAATAAGGCAGCAAACTTCTTGCTACGACGGGAATTATCAGATCCGCTTGCTTCGATTCGTGATTTTCTATGCTATATTTCAACAAGTTTTGAACAATTTTTTCCATTTCCAAGGCTTTTTTAATATATAGCAAAATATGATAGAGCGGGCTCGGTTAAGGGGAAATAATTGATATGCAAGCTGAAAAGATACATATTTAGTTCGATAATGAAATAAAAGGGGAATTTTGGTAATATCAGATTAATTAACAACATACTGAATTTTAATACCGCTGCTTTGTAAAAGAAAGAAATAGAAGACATGGTTTTATTAGATTCATACTTGCACGTAAGGTATGCCTTGTAATAAAATACATCCTTGGGTGAAAATTTTAATGTACATTCCACAGATTGTCCGGGTGATATCGTTCCTGTCTCGGGATAAATTACGAAAGGCAGATCATCGCCTTCTAACCAACTGTCGGTGGTTCTTCCCGATAATCCTGCGGTACTGCTGAACAGATCCGATTGTTTCATCGTTGAAGCATCTTTCATATCGACGCTATCTGCAAAATTATAAATATTATTTTCCATGAAAGATAACCTAATGACAGAACGGATGAAAGAAGCACGAATGAAATAGAAGAATATTATGATACCATGAAATTGTTTTTTAAAAATTAATGACATACACCGAAAGACAGATAATTCATGTTTTCCTCTTAATCACTGATTTGCCATTGATTTGTAAAATTTAGTCAAAGTCACATACTATTACTATGAATCTTACTATGTACAATATATAACTTATTGGTGGACTGTGAATTTTTATACAAATTCATATTTATGAAAATACACAAATAACGAAACCTGGAATTGGGTTTGGATTTTTCGTATATTTTTTGTATTTTTACGTTTTACGTGAATTCTGTGTATTTTAGTATCTTTCAATCTTCAAAATGCATAAAAGTCCACAGTCTTTTTTACGAGCAATGATATACCATTACCGGAAACGAATGACATGCATCGTCGTGACAAAATATTCGTGTTAACCCCAGCGCTCGATTCATCCTGGCCGAAATTTCTGCGACTGAGTTCACTTGTTGCGGAGAAGATTCCCCTAGATGATCTCGAATGCTGGGAGCGGGTTTCCTCCGCGGTTCTCGGTCTGGAAGTCACGTTCGAACTGTCTCCTATGTACCTCTTCGGATACTGTTCGTCCATGTTTATCTTCCAGGCGAACACCGTATCTACGATCCCTGGATTCGATAGGAAGAATTTGTACTCCCTGGTCTGCAATGAAATTTCGCAATTGTTTCCAACGCGATTGAAATTTTTATTGGTATCAAACGTAATTTTGTTCCAGGATGTGCAACGAATACGCGAACTATTTATCTTGTTAGAGTTTCTAATTAAAAAAATCTCTTCTTCTTAGTTTTTAATTATCTGATTGCAAGGTAGAAAATCGACCTGAAACATCAGCGTATCGTTGAAACAAATTTCTTGAACAGTGCACAAACATTCCGAAAATGCAACAATGGCGTTTAATAGGAGATCGATCGATCTGTTCGTCCCAGCCAAAATTTCGTGCTTTGCCTCGATGGTTGGTTCCACGATTTTCTTCAGTAACAAGTTTACGTCGCTTAATCGATCCATCAGATCATGATGTATCCGCTCCCAACGCACCTCCGTCTGTCTATCGTCCCAACCTACTAACTGGTGTTGCGAATATTCTACCAGAATTTCGCATATCAAACACTCGATACGAATCTAAAAGGAAAAATGAAAGGTAAAGAGCACGTTATTTAAAACAATTTACTAACGTTTGTGAACGTGAAATACACAAGTTGAAGTGGCAGAAAAATGATAGATCAGATGTAATATCGTATTTTCAAGGAAACGATACTATAAGACGGTGGAATATTGGAAATTATTTCGTTCACGATTCAGTGACAACAGGTTACATTTGGGAAACGTACGTTCTCGTAATTCGCAGGTTCAGGTGCCAGGAAAGTAGCAACGATTTCTTTGCACGTGAGATACTTGATATGTCCAATAGATGGCTCGAACACAACGTGCGGATGTGCACTCCATTGGAAACGAAACCATCGATCTGTAGATTTATTGGCAATCTTGAATGTCTTTTTGTACATTTTGCTAACGAAACAAAGTCCGTAGTCGAGAATGTAGGTCAGAGACGCAGAGTGCATCGAGATGCTCGAAGCTGTAAAACACACTTCCGTTCACGTCGTGGTTAATGAAACAGCGAAATTTGAATGAAATTGATGACAAATGAATCGTTCAAATTTCAACTTTGTACAGTCGTTCAAATTGCCTTTCACCTGAAACCAATGAATTCTGCTTGGACAAAACTCTCCGGACCTTGTGATTTTCGGTCACGACTTTACGTTTATTCTCCTCGAATTGTAAGCCGTCCAGAACGATCGGCTCCACGTAACACTCGCCTTCCAAATTAGTCGACATATTCTCGTACGGATTATCGATCACGTGCAAACGAATTTTTCCATGATGTTTCCCGATTTCAGTCGGAGCGAAGATTACTTTGAAGCGAGCTACATTTCCGGGTGCCAGACGAACTACGATGCATCGATCGCGTGGCTCTGTAACGACAAAATTACAAATGTTTGGTAACATCTTCAATTTTTCTTTATAACGCTGAGATGGGGTTAACGCTAGGATGAAGATGGTCGCGTCAATTCCAACTCGTGCAAATATTTTACCTCTACTTCTTTCTCAATTATATCCGCGCGTCATTGTTCTAACAATTTATACGAATAATCTCATTTTTCAAGTAAATTTAGGACACTGGTTAAATGGCTAACCATCGCAGTAATCCTCCCAAATTTGCAGTAAATGGTGCGTATCCGAGCAAGCGGAAAAGAGGAACACGTTATTCAAATCCTCGTCGATCTTCACGATGACTTTCGCCTTAATGAATCCGATGTTTTCCAAAGCGAGATATCTGTAACTGCTCTCGTCGATCAATGTACGAGGAAAGTTCAAAGTAGGTCTTTCTCGTGCTCCATGCACTGGCTCTGTAATCGCCACTTCCGGCACGCAAGATTCTCCTATCAGTTTGATGAATAGCTGGTCTGCTTCGAGATGCGAAGGCAAAACCACGGCTGCTCGAAACGTTTCTTGAAACGTCTGCAAACAACCCCAGAGAATTTCGAGAAATTTCATTTAATCTCTCTCTCTCTCTCTCTCTTTCTCTCTCTCTCTCTAATGTAATAATTTCAATCACCACGAATTCACCTCTATGATGTGCGGGGTAAAAGACACTGTGAACACTTTGTGACTCATTGGAGGAATCTGGTCGTTCGTCGGTTCTACGATAAACGTGTTAGGTTTTGCTGTGTTTGGCATCAAAGATTCTTCCATCAAGCGAATTTCTACGTTCGCAGCAACTACGCCACGATTATACAATTTGAAACAAGTTACGTGAGTGCTCAGTACGTTGATATACCGGAAGTAGAGTGATTTCTCTTGACGAGCAAACACAGTGTGCGCCCCGATCTGAAAAAAGAAAGAATAAATGTAAAGAAACAAAATACAAGATTGCACATTCGCATTTGCAAAGCGTGCATCGTTTTAAAGGACCAAGAGACGATAAGAACATCTTTGGGACAGTCGAAGTCTTGAATTCTATCAACCACGCGATTTTCTTGAAACGTCGAGTCGAGGTCCTGGAAATCGATAGTGGGCATGAACGAGTTCATGGATAACGTGACTATTTTCCCTTCTCTGTCCTCGGGAATGCTATTGTCCACCATAATAATAATCTGTTCCTCTTGGGAACCCACGAATTCTGGGTAACAGCTGATGGCGATGCTGTCCGCTTGATCAACGTCTACGGTGCCCTCTGTTTTCATTATCGTAATTGGCCCTATTGTCAACCTCTCTGGCTCCGAATGGATTCTATACGTTCAAAGTTAATTAAGTCCTCCTGTATTTCATTATTTTGCCGCATTTCATTTGTCAAAATATAGTACTTGGTCTCGGTCTTGACGCTTCTGGCAGATTTCTTCCCTTTCTTCGACGTGGTTCTTCTCTCCGCCAGGCTCGTCTTCTTAGGAAATTCTTTCGGCAACGGTTTGGTCATGTACATGACAGAAGGATGTTTGTGCAATAGTCGAATAGAATAGTGTAACGGAAATTTTCCGATGTTCTCGATATTGAGGTACATGGTTTTCTCGGTGCACATGGCCAACGCTCCAAAGTTTACCACAGGATATGGATTGATACGAAACCTGTCGTAATTCAAAGGGGAATTCCATGGAATCCTCAATATCCAAGAGTTTTCAAGATATCGAAGAACATACCTAGTGTAATATGCAACAAGAGAAACGTTGAGAGGAATCTCGGCGATTATAGTAGTTTCTTTATGAGTGTCAACCAAATGACATTTTAATATCGGGGCTTCCTTAAGCGTCAGCTCGGTCTTCGGTTTGAATATCATCTATGACAGTAGAAATGAGACATACAGAAGCCAAACCGATCGAGTCCATTGAGAGAAATAACTTGATCTCTCAACAAATTAAATACCGATCATTAAATTGCGAATGTTTATATTATACTTTTCTGAAAAACTTAAAGGTGCAGAAAATTTACAGGACACACGTGGCCAGTGACTCGTTAAATTATATTTAAAAATACAAACTTCTACAGTTTTCTCCTGATTTGGTGAAACAGTTCCAGTGGTTGGTTCGATTTCCAGCTTCTTCTTGAAATTATCAGGTAAGTTTAATTTCGCCAATTTCTCTTTGTCTTCCACGGTAATTCTACAAAAGTCATCATCTTCCTCGTCTTGTTCGTAATAATATGAGAAAGAGAAGAACGTGGAGCTGTCCTTACGCGTATTTCACCTCGTAGTCACCGCGATTTCTCATGGAGAAAGTCGTCTTCGCGGCGAAGTTCACCCTTATGTATTTCAAATCGATAGGATTCGCGTAGTTGATGTCCACTGCGACGTCGTAAGTTTCTCCAGATATTAATACGACATCGTAGAAAATGGGATCGTTGTCGTCCTCGTCTAGAAATGCCTTGAAGATTATCGCCTTCTTGCGGACCACACCGACCTGTACAAAAATTCTCTAAGAAATTCTTTCTTTCTTGTTAGATAATATTTAGAAAGTTTATTCTACGTTTAAAAAATGTTCTCTAAGTTACTCGACACGATATTTAACTAACTTTCAATTGATCGAAATCAAAGAAACACATGTTACCGTGGTAGCGTGATAACAAAACTCAATCTTTTGCTCGCTGCGAGTCTCTATCACTCCATGAAAAGGCGTGAACGTTATCTGTGGATCAGCAGGCTCTTCGGCTTCCAAATACCAAAAGAACGGAACCGGAGTTTTATTTCTGATAGTCAGTGTTCGATATTCTATTCGATAGAGCAGTATGCGACCGAAGGACAACTCTTTCTCATCCAGTTCGATGTCCAACACGGTACCTTTGCTTTGCAACTGAATTTGTTGCGAAATTATAACGATTAAAAGATTTCGGATCACGAGATGTAAAATAATGGAAGAGCCAATTTTACTACCGACAATGATTCTAGAAAATAAATTGAATGGCGTCATCGCGTTCCATCACACATAGATAATATGCTTTTAAAGAAAAATTAATTGCAGTTCAATTTATTGTAATTTTCTAATTAAAATACATCTTCTAAAAAATAAATGTCAAAATATCTCTGACCGATATGTATATTAAGTATACGAACGAATAATCCAGATTATTCAGTGAAGTTCAAAACTGCTTTCTATAACTTCAAAATCTATTAAACAAGATCCAATCGTCAAGCCACTGACAAAGGAGGAAATTTGCGAGGGAAATTGCTGTGTGACAACGCTTGGCCACAAACTGCTTCTACGACAAAAGACATCAACGTGTCTTGGTTAGTACATCTTGCAGCAACTGGACATTACTCCTTCCAATTATCATCTGTTCCAATCGATGTGACGCGTCTTATCCGACACGCACTTCCAATTAGTGGATTAGATACAAAAATGACTTGACGATTGGAGCTTGTCTAAAGACGCAGCATTTTGCCATGATGGAAGTCACCACTTGCCCCATAGATTGGCTTAAAAATAGAGAAATCAACGACGAACACTTCGATTGAACAACTTGCTGTATCGTTTTTTAGCTAAACGTTAACTTTCCTTAAAAATTTGGACTATTCATCTGTACACCTAGTATTTAAGTTTTCTTTTCACAAAAGCTCTTCAATTAGTTCATTAAAAATACCAGTATCCTTCAAAAGTCTATTTCTACAGTTACCTCGATCACTTCGACTTTCGGATTGTTTGTCACGCACAAGAACAACTTTCCCGTGATAATTCCTAGTCTGGTAGCGATGGCCGACAAGATCAGAGTCGCGCAGTTACCTCGCTGCGTAGATTTCGTTTCTCGTTAGCGAGTGAATCGTTCGATTTTGCGAGACGCGGACTACTACTACGGAATAATTAAACAGCGTGTCGTTAGCCGATAACGTACAGCGATAAGGAGCTGCTGGGGCTGAACGAAGAAGCACTGGGAATCGTTTTCCGTCAGTGAGACGCGAACCTCCACCTCCACCTCGGAAATGTTGCAAAACTTCAGCCGAGCCTCTCGACGATGCGGCCTGCAAACAGATAAGTCGATGTAACTTGCGAATTCGCCAACTGAAAATGGAAGGAACGCGCTCGATTCCCTTGATAATAGAGGAAATCGTTTCGTTTCTTTAACAGAGGCAATCGGTTTCGTTGCATTTCTCATTCTACCAGTCGAGTGCACGCGCATCATTGCACTAACGAAAGGACTATGGTCCTACAGACGTAGTACTCTTAGAAATATTCTAGTTAGTATTAAGAGTAATTCTAAGAGTATTTCTATTAGTACTATTAGAAATACTCTTTTTCCTCTGATATTTCTTTCTAATTACACTGAGAACATAATTGCGAAGATAGTTATAGATTCTTCTAAAAGTTATAGGAATTGTCGGAGCAACTCCGACACTTTGTATAATTGTGTAATTAATGCATTAAAATGTTTAAAGCGAAGAAATACCTTCTGTCTTTGCGGAGAACCAGCTGAGATCCAAAATCGTACAACTCTTTGTCGTAGAAGTACGTAGAACTCTCTGCCTCGTTCAATTTAGCATCTGCAGTCTACAATACGTTTACGAAGGGATTAACCAGATATACCTGAATTGTTTCTAACGATTCAAAATGATATTATCTTTCCCTTATTTGGCTCTTTAATGAAATATTAATCGAGGAACTTTCTGAAAAAATTTTTATTTCTTCTCTAAGTATGAAAAGAACAAATTTCTTTGAAAGACATTTCTACCATGTAGTTGAAACATAGTTAATATTAAAAAGCTAAAACTTCCAACCCAATGAACTTTTGCTACCTACTATGTATCCATGGGTTCCTGTTCCAGGAAGCTATTCAAATATTACTTAGTAAAACAAAACAATAAAGTAGAACAAATAGTAAAACGAAAAAGTAATCATCCTTCCGGAAAGTTGTTAAATATGTTTCCAAAAATCGGAAGATAAAATTATCTGCATGAATTCCTGCAGCTAGTTCGAGCATATAGAGATAGAGAATTAGTAATTAGTACCTTCGCAAAAATCGTTTTAGGATTCATATCCAGCCTCGGTATATCGGCTACACCGGTAACATTCACTTCGTAGGTGACGTAATTTCCATCCAACAGAGTCAACGCATACGTCTCCTCATAGTGACCCGACTCTTCCGGTTGGAAGCGGATCTTGAACCTCTGGCTTTCGCTCGGCAGTAAAATCCATCGTGGCTTCAAGGACTCTTCCCGAATCGTTTCCAGAAATGACGCGTTGTTCGTGTCCTTGCTTCCAATCGTCGATGCGTTCACAGAACGATTTTCCGCTCTGCTCAATGATTTTTGTTCCTCCGTTTTGCTCGCTTTACGTCCACGTCTTCTACGATTTCTTTTAGCGATACTGTAATTCTCTTGCACGCTTACCTCGCTCACTGCGTTTGACTCGTTCACGGAGAAGATTTCCGGCATCGATGTCAAGGAAACCAATCGATAGACGTCTGAATAATAATTCATTTATTCGCGAATCTTTATTATTGGAAATATCGGTATAGGAATTACAGTGAGATTCAAGAGCGTACCGCCGAGAATTCTTTTAGCTCGTTTTTCTACGGCTTTCCACCTGAGGACGGAATAAAGCTTGGGTCGAAGATCTGGTACTGGTATAATCTCGACGGCTACAAAAGATACGTGCATATTGTATATTTAAGAAGACAGATTGTTATTATTCAACTTACGGAGAGCAGATTTTGCCAATAGGTTCTCGTTCATTTGAGCCACAACTAGATCGTACATTGTGTCTTGCCAAGGATCGCTGGATCTTACGTACCATATGTGAAAATTGTTTGCAGGCACCTAATTTTTACATTTCTTGTATAATTTTCTACGAATTATATCGTTTGTACAAGGTATAGTATCGTTTCTTTTATACGTCACCTCTTGAACTGTATCTAAAGGAGATACATCTTTGGATCTAGCGCTTCTTGATGCTTTAGACTTCGTCGTAGAAGCTGTTTCCTACAGACGAAATAATAATGTCGTCATCGGTACTCAAGAGGAATTAGCAAGGACGAAAATAAAATTACTATCGTCTTTTTTATGGGATCCCAATTACGAATCACAGTCTCGATCGACGAGAGATCCTTGTAATATCGATCCATAGTGGCTGTAATTTCTTTCACCTCGCTCGATACAGATTCTTTCCCTGCAGAATAAGAAACACGTGGTCATATAAATTACGACCGTTGTTCTTAGTTCTTTACTTTAGTAGACCCACTTCGTTTCGAGCTGTCTCTACTTCTCGTTGCTTTGCTTGTCCCTCGTTTACTGGAAGCTGGCCTCGAGTTACTGGCTGCTGTCGCGTGTCTCGTCGACTTTGCGTTCCGCTTCTTCTTGGTTGTCTTCAAGCTTGAAACGTAGCTACGATCCTCCTGCGAAACAGTCATAATTTTCATGTAAATTTACAATCGAATTCAAACCTTGCAATCTCGCAGAGAACCTTCGAAACTTTCTAATTAATGGAAAGAGCTTCCGCGGCTTTCGGATTTAACCGCAGCTGATGCTAAACTTCCATTCGCTCTGAAACTGTTTGAAAGATCGCGTTCGTTCGAAAATTTTTCATTCGATAAATTCTCATAAATTAATACATTCACCCTTTAAATACATCTGCCGCCAATAGACAGTGAAAATGTATTTTGTAAGAAATACAAACTAAAGATATACAAGAAATTTAATACGCGTACGTAAATGTCTTTAAAATTGTACGATGGAAGAATAATAGGAAGATGTTAAGGAAATCCTTGGAATTTCTTTTTAATAACTACGATATCGAAGAAAAGGATTCTACGATGTAAATCGTTTAAGAAAAAGTTACGAATGAAATATTGCATTAATGCTATGTTAATCCTTAATGGGTTGCCAACACAGATCGGATTCTACAGATCAAACGATCAAACCTTTTTCTTTGTACGTTCCATCATTCTTTCGATGAATCGAGCTCGCCTACGCGATGCTTCCGCCCTTTTAAGAGGTAGAATCGCGTCCAGATACATCTTCTTATCCTCGTCGGGAAGTTGATCGTATTCGGACGACGACATCTCGTCGATGTCCTGGATCTTCTGATTGGGATCGGTCGCTTTCATCGCTGCAAAGATGAAAAGCTCGGTTTCCTGTGCCGTTGGCAATTCTATTTCACGTGCAATTTCTCATAGTGAAGGATCGAACAACTTTTTATTTCGAAGCTATCTCGCGTTTTCTTTCATTTTTTATCTTCTTATAAATTGCCTACTTTGCCTTTTAATTTTACCTATTTCCTTTTGAAGTTGCTCAACCCTTGTGTCGTAGCAAGCCATCGAATTAAGAAAAGTAACGAATAGAAGATACTCGATATTGCCGACGATTCGTAACAAGGAAAGCAAAGCTTCGAGCGTGTTATTTCGCAGGAAATTGCACTCCAAGCTCTGTACAACGAAACCTCGCTTGAAATCCTCCATGGATAATCTATAAACCATTCGTTTCGTTATAAATTGAGGCAACTGGTTACAGATCGATCGATTTTTAATCCATAGAAAGATCCATAGAAAAAAAAGGAGATTCAAGTAACAGAGAAACCTTTCTTCAAGAGCTTCAGCTATTAATTCGGAAGTAATCCCAAGAAACGAATCCTTCTTTTTCCTTAGACTTCTATCACCTCTGTCTCTGGGCGAGTCATTGATATCACGGTGATCAACTATTTTCTGCAGTAACAAAATAGCTTGTATCTTATATTCGTATCTACTCAAAGCATCCAACATTTCCAGTTTCTCGTTGGTTGGAATTTTATCCAGCTCTACCAGCGGATCAGGATCTGCATGAAGTCGAAGGATCGTTTCTCTCTGCGCGTCTGAACTTCGTATTTTGGCAGATTTCGACGTTTTCAATTTCTTCGGGGTTTTAGGCGATCCTCCTGTCCTGGACGATTTCTCCTTCGGCGAACTTCTCCTTTTACTCGAAGTTCCTGTTCTTCTAGTTGATTCTGATCCGACCTCGTTGCTTTCACCAGCGTCTTGGCTGATCAAACGCTGTCTGATAAACAATGAAATATTAACTCATTAACAAAAATGAAAACTTCGAACAAAGGGAAAAGCGATTATGCAAATTCCTTTATTTATAATTAACCAAAGAAAGCAAACGCAAAGAAAGACTTTTGTCACATCTTCCGAATAAGTAATAGTATCTTATTTTGCATATTTGTTACTTATAATTTATTATTCATTAATAAGTACTTTCAAGTATCGTGGATCTTACTTTTGTTTCACAAAAGCCTCCGAGTAAGTCTCATAAGCATCGTCGATGATCTGTCGAAGTTGAATCGAGCACGGACTTCCGGAAAGCGCAGTAACTTCCGTGATCGCCTTATCGATGCTAAGAACTGGAATTTCTAAGACTCTGGCGCTCCGGCATGCAACCTCTTGATACTCTGAACAATATAAATTACGTACCATCGATTAAGAAGATATCGAACAATGACTAATTACGTGTCCGAAGAGATTATATCATCGTTAGTGGTATGGATTAAGCTTTGCAACAAAGTAGATCGTGGAAACTGGAGTTGGTGTGGGATTCGTGAATAGCGAAGATGTACGTGTTACAATGGAGTACCGGTGAAAGGAGCTCCATGGAAAATAACGCAGACTCTTTTCTCAGGCTTCGAGGGATCCGGAAGATTGTTCGACACGTCGGATTTTCGCTGGATATTCTCGAAAAGTTCCTTCACCGGGTCTTTCATTCTACTTTGGAAATCTGAACTCTTATAAAGGCTGTCTATGTAACCTGGCAATATGAAAACTTATTGTTGTTAGAGTTTAAGTGGCAAACACTGTACATTGCCATTCGAAGGTATTCAAATATTACGTCATGCCATAAGTTCGTGCCGACTTTTGTGTATACATTTCATGTGTCGATTTATAAACATACGGCGATAAGGGATCAATGCACTTGAGCTTAGCTGATCGAGAACAGGCTAGAGCAGATTTTCGTGGGTATAAGATCATAATATAGTGAACACAGTGACTTCTAACAGTAAAAAATCATGAGTGAAATGCGTATCCATTTTCGACATCTCGTGTTATATGAATTTCGGAAAGGAAGTTCTGTAACAATTGCCACGAAAAACATATGTGCTGTTTACGGAGAAAATGCGCTTTCATCTCGCACCTGTAGGAAGTGGTTCCAACGTTTTAGAGCTGGGAATTTCTGTTTAGAAGACGAGGAACGCTCCGGACGTCCTCCTCAGACAGACGAAGATAAAATTCGGAATCTTGTTGAAAAATCACGAAGTGTAACAGTTCAAGAGATGTCAAATGTTCTGAAAATACCTAAGACAACGATTCATGGGTGTTTAAAAAAAATAACATATATAACCGCTCGAAAAACGGCACGAACTTATGGGATGACCTAATATTTTCGTATTTCTGACGGCATATATTTTGATCGCAAAATTTCGAACAATGGTCAGTTTATGTCAATTCCGACATATCGTTACGAAAAGAAATGACAGAGAAAGAAAGGACTTACAGAAAAGCATGTGTTGGATTTCTTCGGGATCGCTCGTGGGTAGAGGAATGGACTCCAGTAGAGTTTCGTTCAAAATTGAAAAGTCCGGATAGTCTTTTCTACCCGAATCCGTGCTAGACAAGTCACTGACAACTTCGTTTCTTCTCCCGCGACGACTAGATTCACGAACGCTGCTTTTCCTCGCCGTAGATTGCTGAATAGATCTTCCGCGTTTTCTCGTTTTCCTCTTCAATACGCTCGACCTGGTCATCCTCTCTCTCTTCTTCCCCGTGTCTCCTTCGTGACTCCTTCTCTCAAGCTGAACTTCTTCCTCGAATAGTTCTTCTTCGTTTAACTTCTCCATAATTAACGCCTGGGCCATCTCGTTGATTATGTCTCTGTAAAATTTCGTTAATTGCCAGGGTATCGATTCACCAGGCTTTCTGGGTGGCAGCAGTATTTCCTTCACTTTGTAGTAATACAACAGAGCTTTCGTTATATGATCCTCCATCTGGAAAACACTGGACCAACGTCGTTTATCGAGAAAGCGATATCTAGCAACGTCGTTTATTAAAAGGTAGGTATGAGTCACTCAGATATCAAACTGATCAACTCTCATCTCAATTGTCTGTCTCAACACAATTTTTATACGTTTTTGATTTCATTGCTTGGATTATTTCTAGTATATAGAATTAACCGGTGTAACTTCTGAGCAACTCATAAGCGTATCTTTACTCGTCCAAATGATGCCAGAAGAACTCCACAGGATAATTGCAAGTATTCTCGATCGTGAAAACTACTTCTTGAATATTCGTATACGGAATAGTGGGCAGAAATTGAATAGTCGGTTCGATTATGTTCAATCTTTTTTCGATTCCACGACCAGTTATAGCGACTATCTGCGTTTCAGGGCTCATTTTTACGATAATCTTTAACCTCGTCTCTATATAGCACTGAAACGATTAACCCTTCGAAAGAATTTCTTAACAGAGAGCTTAACAGAGAGCTCTTACCGTTTTCCGAGGTTTGAAATATACCCGGACAATTTCGAAATGACCAGGTGGGCAGTAATTTGTATCGTACTCCACGTAAAATGGATAATCCTCGTGTTGCTTCTTACGATGAACGTCCGATAGCCTCGCCTCCCACTCGCAATCGACTAATCCGCTGGGAAATGATTTTAGGTGAAAGATAAAATGAGTTTGACGAAAGTCGAGTATACAAGGATATCAAAGGACGGACAGGAAGATTAAATTGACGTTAAAAATATCGGACCAAAACAGAATATTCAAGACGACCATTGCGTACGAGTATGTTTGCATTTTCTTCCATCCATTTCATATTACTTTGTTTCCGTGTGCGCCAGATGAAAGTGGAAGATAGCGAATAGGTCGACTTTAATTAAGATTCTATTTGAACGAATTTGGAGAAAAATGACTCGCACGCAATGGTGGTTCGCGATTCTCAAAGAAACGCCTGACTCGTTACGCGTTGCAACAACCGTCGTTGTGAGAACGAGCTTTTTCAGAGAATGGAAGGGTGAAAAATTTCGTATAAGAGGACCGCGTGTTTGCGGTTAAAAGCGGATAGGCAAGAAGTTCAGTTCGCAAAGCAGCACGATCATTTCTAGTGGAATATACAGCGGCAAGAAATTTTGCGGGTAGCATTCTGACAAAATGAAATTCGTAAAGTATTATTCTCTGTTTAAATATGGTAGGATGATCCTCGCGTTTCGATCACCGTTTTGTTAAATAATTTTCTCATATTTGTCCGATAGAATTTATACGACAAGAGACAAATGAAACTTTTACGATAACAAGCGTGTAAGAGAGAAATAATCGTCGGAAACAACTGTCGACGAAAAGTAAAGAAGCAAGAAAGATAAAAGCAGAATAAGAAAAAGTTGATGGTTACGCCGATGCGAAACAGAAGAAAACCGATTGCAGTCAGTCTTTACGCCAATGGTTCTCGCGAACACGAAGGAACAAGGGCTTTTCGCCGACGACGCGGCCAGGAAAAAGCTGCCCACGTTCTCATGTGCTACACACTACTGAGTCAGCAGTTTTTTGTTGCTTCTAGTACTCGCGCAGGAATTTATATGGGTCACTCGGCCGAACTCCATTCATTTTCGATATTTTCGTGCGCGAATCGTACTACTAGTCGATCCAAGTAGAATAGTCCGATCTGGGCCGGACAAAGACAGAATTAAATAGCTCGTCCCGTTCTACGCATTGACTCTATTATTGTCTAAGTTGCGATAAAAGAATAATTTATTACTCATTCTTGATCAAAATGTGGAGAACCAAACATTCTCCAACAACAACGTCCTGGAAGTCCAGAAACTTAGTATTGACGGTGACGTACGGATAAGTTACTATTCCCTTTATAGTGACAGGAATCGTGCATCCATATAATACCTGCATGGAATCGTAAATAGAATTTCATCTGCCAAGCTCGTGAATTCTCTTCGTTTTCGTCTGGACAAAGATTACCTCTATGTAAATCATATGTTTCACTTCTGTGCTTTTCTCTGAAAATCTTTCTCGTGTAGGGTGCCAGGTCACTTGAAGAATAGCAGAATCGCCGACCAACAGCTTGGAATGCTTTCTGAAGTGTACTATGATGCCAGATCTTTCTGGGTGGTCTTTCTTGTTCTCCATTTTCATTCTCATTTCCACGTTCCATGGGCCGTAATTAATTACATTGGCCGAATAATGAACAGTACGTTCGATGATCACGTGTTTCATATCTTGAAAGAGAATAAAGTTATTCAGTTTAATGATAATAATCTGTTATTATTCACGACAATGATATTTGATAATTGCCTGTGAATTTGAATAAATTTGCGAAGAAGAAACGGCAGAATTTGCAATCGTTCGCAGGCTGCATAATGCAGAGCGAATAATATAAACGCACAATTACGTTCGAGGCAATAAAAGGAAAGGTTACGAGGAGCAAGACATACCAATAACGTGCTCGGATGAAAAAAGTTGAGGAATTGGCTCGTTCCTGCGAGTCGTAGCATGCTGCATTAAAATGTATGAATTTGCATCGACGAACTTCCTTGCCAACCACCTTTCTATCGCCATGTCGATGTCCATCGTTCGTGGAAACGTCTCGTCGTACGGAATAATACACCATTCCTCGGCTCGAAGGAAAGTACAGTGTGTTAATACGAAACGAACCATATAGAATACTTAATGTTTGCCTACTGTCATTCTTGTTCACGAGTCGGTGAAATATTCATTCACTCTAAATACAATAGGACTCTGCGCGGCTACTCAGCTTTATAATAAATTTATCGTTCCTTAAATATCCTGACAATATTGAAACTTACCGGCTAACATCTCCATGTCCGTTTCGAGTAAATCGTTAATCTTCTTGGCAACGATGTTCCCTATTTTCTGTCACATACAATCCATCAATGTTTATGTAAAACGTTGGAAACATCGTCGATTTGTCTTACGTTAACTATGAAATCCTCGGTCAACGATTGGATAGCAGAGTATTCTAGCTCGATGGAATGATATTGATGCATTTTTCCTCGAGGAATGCACAGGTAAACTTGTGGAAAAGCACCATAAGCGATCACTTCGATCGTGACGGGCATCAAGTGACCGATCTAAGGATTTTTTTAATAAAAATGCAAATGCATGCCTCCTTATAGAGCCTTTACGAGCCCCTTATTAACAAATCTTCGAATAACAAAGAACTCGATGGAATCGTCAAGCGTATTACCGATTTAAAAAGGGTTTAGTCGTACTTCTAACTGAAATCGATGACCGATAGGACCGAGCATCGTTGGCAGATGATCCACGTGAAACTCCACGACCGATTCAGCGTCCACAAAGCCACCATCCGGTTGGATTATCAATGGATATATATCGAATCGATCGATCGCCTCGTTGGAAGCCACCTCCGTGACTTTTATTTCGTAATCGAACGCTATCGTACAGAGATTCCTCAAGACAAAGCTGCTACGAGAATATTCCAGAAACAACTGTAACATGTTTTACAATTTCGTGAAATTGTATGACGATCTATATTGATCATGAATTACAAACGTTCGTAATTTATACAACTGACAAAGCTTTCATTTGTCGCGAGTAATATTTTAGTATCAACCCTTAACGATTGTCATGGCTAAAATTTCGTCCTACAATAAATTCTGTACTAATATTATCGCCCTGTAATTTATAATATCTTAGCATAGAAGTAAGGATCCGGCGAATATCATAAATCTCAAAAATAATTGTACAAGAGAAATGTCGAATAACGTTCTACGATTAAGTGGATATTTTCATTAGACAGTAAGATGTATGAATACCTGTTGACCAAAATCGATAACATTCGTGTCAATCGCGTATCGAATAGCGTCTGCGCGAGCGAGTAGATGAATCCGCTCGGTGGGTCCACGGAAAATTTCACAGACGATGATGGCTTTTATTCGAAGCCGTTCGAAACCGTGAAATCCTACGTGTACTCGTTGCACAGAATACGGAAGCACCGTGCCCTCGTTTGGAACGATCTTCAGAACCTGGAAAGATATTTCATACGTGGATGTTGTCATAAAACAGAACGTTATATTTCCTCGTGAAAAGCAAATATCGGGCTTAAACTGCTTTGAAAGAAAATCTTTACTGGATTTGAAAAGAGAGCTCTATCTACCATATCTAATGTATCTGTTCCTTTAAAAATTCTTCCCTCTGTCTACTAATATTATTTTACTTTTAATCCTTATAATTTTATTTAGTATCATTAGAATTTTATTTCTATTAACTTCGTTGATATAGTCATTCCTCGGAGGATCGGTCCGCATGCTCTCTAACACAACCAGATCTTCGTCTGTCTTAAAATATGATCCAACAATCGGCATTAGGAAGTTTCTTATTTCCTCTGCAGATACCAAACAATCGTCTATTTCAGAAATTTTCTCCGTAAGAGGAACTTCCGAGCTCTGGTTCTCTGAAATGGGCGCTGCAACAAAATTCCGCTAGTTTTTACAGGAAGATCTGAGAGAACATTAATTGAAGCAAGAAATACAATTCGTAGGTGGCGGTATCGTGTCTAATGGCCCGTCTCCGACTCCGTCTTGCTTGTCACTCGTGTAAATGTCTTCGTGTATCTCGTCCGCTACCTCGACCTCTTGCATCTCGGCTGTATCCGCCTCTAATTTTGCTTTGCGCGATGAACATCCAGAACACTCCTTTAAGTGCATAATAATTATGAAGATTCAAAGTACTAAATCAAAATGTCTCGTTTTTATCAATTAATACAGAAATATACTTGATATTATTCTAATTTCTTTTAAATTGCATACTCGATTTAAAGATTATCATTAATTCGAAAGAATTAATATCATGTATGACCATCTTTGGTTCTTTCGACGATTTTATCAAATAAATATTCGATAATTGAAATTTCGTCGAGTAGTTGTTTCCTACAAATCAAAATGTAGTTTCATTTTCGAACTCACCGGCACGACGTCCGAATCGCGTTGTATATCGATGGAATCTGCGAGCCACAGGAATTTATATACAACCGATACTGGTCCGTTATTGGTTAACGTTAATATTTCCTCGGCGCTTGTGCCCAGCTCGCAGTTAATTACAAAATCACTAGGCTGTATGTCGAGGTTCGGAAAATTCACGTAACCCTTACACATGATTTTATCCTAAAAGCAATTCTTCCAAACCATGAAACAATATCAAATAACCCTCGAGAACACCAAAAAATTTACCTGATTGGGATGCTCCTGATATTCCAGTCGAAGTACGCCGGAATAATTTTTCGAGTAACGATCCTCGGTATCGCCATCGAAGGAAAAGAAAACGCGAATTTTCGTCGTACCTCCGTCGATCAGGACGATCTGCATACTTTGCACGTGTTCTTCGGTAGAGGTTATCAAATGAAATGGTTCTTTCACCGAGAGCTGAACGTTAAGGTCCAGCTTCGATTGATTGGTCACCAATAATTCGTCTAAACGAAGAATCACGACGATCAGAAAATTCAGACGTCAACAGATCGTCTTCGCGTTTACGTGTTTCACGTGCAAGATACCTGTTTGCTGTAATTTGTCTTCCTCGGGGCACACGTCCACCCGAAACGTTAGCCTCCTTTTACTAAATAGAATCTGTGGTTCTGTCAACGTAACCGTGAAAGACGACGTGCCGATCAATTCACGTTTCCCTATACCGTGAAATTGACCGAAAACGTTCCATTTTTCTACCACGCACTCGTTTCTACGTTAACAGTTATGTTATATTTCAGTTTGATCGTGAGAAATTCTATTTCCGTTCAATCATTGCGTGACCGTTTTGCCATTCTACTCACGCTTTCCAGAACAACTTGCAATAGACATGTCTCGTTTCCCCCGGTGGAATATTGACGATCGAAGGATGTAGTTGAAACTTCGTGCTGCGTTTAAAGAAATTTATACAGCATTTATACAATGGGAACGGTCAAATTTTCTCCTTACGTGTGCGACATTTGCATTTGACCTCGTCGAAATCGTACTTCTGGTTCGGTTATCCAGATCATTTGATAGTCATGAGTCCCCTTGTTCGTCAGAGTTATTGTTCGATCTATTTGCTGATGGCTAAACAAGTGCAAGCATACATTATTTATATTACATTAAGCTGATAGGAAAGTTCTGTCGCTTTCGCTGCTCGAAAAACAGAAATATACAGGGTGGTTAGTAACTGATGGTACAAGCGGAAAGAGGGTGATTCTACGCGAAAAAAAAGTCGAAAATATAGAATAAAAATCATAGAATATAGAATCATCCCCTTTCCGCTTGTACCACCAGTTACCAACCACCCTGTATATCGTCTCCAACAAAGACGTTTCCACAAAATGCAAGCACTAAAATTATGCTTCGTCGTACAAGAATTTATCGGTCGAATCGATAATAATTAACTCCTCCGATAATATTACCTTCTTCTTTCTATAAATCGTCTGTCGATAGTCTAAATATACAGAGTGTTGCCATTTTAAACGCCAAAACTTCTGCACCGTGTAGGAGACCGATAAACTAAGAAAGTAAGTCCTTTGGAGAATTGTTTGTTCTTGCTCCACTGTGGAAAAAATTGCAGGAAAGAAACAAAAAGATTTTCGCTCCTACGTTTATTTATTTACGCTTATTTATGTATGTTGGACCGTTCAAAGTTTCGTCCTCTTGCTGCAATACAAATATTATATCTAACAATAACCTCCTCTTTAATTACAGATGAACATTGCTTTGATAATATTTGATGCACTGCAACTACGATTCGACCTTATCTTCATTAAATAGACGATAACACGAATAAGTGAATGAAAGAAGGAAAACGTGTTCGTTTCTTTCCTTGTGATTTTCTCCAGAATGGAACAAAAACGAAGGAATCTCTGACCTTTTTTTTTTTTTTTTGCTTAATTTATCGATCCCCTACTCTCTGTATATGCTTTCCGATTATCTGCGGTTTGTAGAAATCCTGAAATAAGCTTGCAAATATAAAGGCAGAGAAGCAAATGTCTGGCGACAGAACGTTCCGGTCGATCGAGTAATTTGATAGTGTGATAATGAATGATTGGAACCTGAAAAGCAGGCCCCAGTCGAAAATTGGGAATATTTGTGGCTCGAAAACGACACTGCAACCATATCCAGTTGCTTTGACCTCTACAGGGATGGTTCTGCTGTTAATTACACGCAGCATAATTTTATCTTTGTATTTCCCAGGGTCCACGAGGTATAGTTTAACAGTAATGATCATCGATTCATGCGGTTCGAGATCACCAGACTCTGGACTGACGCTCCACAGTGAATCTTCGCTTTTCTTCAATGATTAGAAACAAAAAAAAAAGAATTAAAAAATCGAGTCGAGAATTACATTATCGCTCGAGAGAATGTGGACAATTGATTTCTCTGTAATTTTTGACAAAACGTAATTTAACTGCAAAATCACTATCGAAGAAAATAACAAGAAGAATAGTACCAATGTCGCGATAAACTGAGTAGGAATAGGCGAATCGTTGATAAGCTGGAATTCCATCGTTTTTTCTTCGAGAACTTTCACCTCGCCGAAGTCCAAGGAAGTTGGCTCTGCAGAAACCACGGGCCCTTGCCCGTTGCACGCTATGACCAAGTGGGATGATACTGACGATGGTTCTCCCATAACTAACATACTATAGACATTTTTTTTATACTGTTTCCAAGTTTGTAAAACAGTTTCGATTCCAAGCTACACTTAGGTGTATCAACGATAATTATAAAACATCAAGTACTTTACTTTAGCATGATTTTGTGAGGTCCTAGAGTCTTCGCGATAATAACAGCTTCCATTGTCTTCGACCGATGAGCCTTGACGTATCCCTGATTGTTGCAAAGGGAACAAATCACCGCCGAATTATCCGAAACCTAAAGAAACCGAAATTGAAAGAAACGAACGAAGAGGAAAAGCATCTAATAAACATAACTACGCTGAATGCTGTTGATGATTGTCCATCCCAACGATACCTGTTGTGGTATGAAATAAAAATAGCCATCCAAATCGGAAGTATTCTCCACAGCAAAGGATCGCGAATAAGGAAAATTGGTGAAGCAAAATTTAATGGTGATTTCTCGCGGCACGATCGATAACGAAGCCACTTTACCGCAGAATTTCACTGGCAAGGTGACAGGATCCGAATCAGAGTCCCACATGTCGACCTGAATAGTCGTCTGACCGACACGCGCGATATTGGCGGTGTAAATGACCTGCAAATCGTTAGAATCTGTTTCATAATCCCCGTTAAATCAGTCAATCTAACTTGTCAATTGTTAATTATAAACGATCGAGTAAAGGGATTGTTTACTTTGATTTTCATCGAACCATGAGCAGCCACCACCCCTTCCTGTGGGGCGACTTGGAATTCTCGCGGTTTGCTCGGGAAACTTGGCTTCGTTTGGGCTTTCGCGTAGTCCTCGTGCAGCAATGGAACCTGATCTCCGTCGTTCAGCACGGTTATGGTGAAAGCTACAGGTATCAGGGCTAGGTTGTTCAAGTGCACGTCTTGTCTAGTGCTGAATCCTATGAACAACATAGTCGTTTAACTGTGCTTGTTCTTATCAGCCGTTCTTCAATTTTTCATTGAATATTTCTCATTGAATATTTTTCATTGAATCTCTAAGATTCTATATTCTATATCGACGGTTTGCTAGAAGAGTGACACATCTTTGACATATTTGGAAACGTTGATTCTGAGTTATTTATTAAGGGAATGATGTCATAATTACCTAATGAAACTATATTATTTAACAAGAACGATATCGGGGCCCCCGAAATCTATTAACTAAATTGTGAAAGAAAAAAATTGTTCCTTCGTCAAATAGTTGACCAATTAATAATTTTCTTTCAAACTTTTCATTTCCTAAAAATGTACTTTCCTTAATTATGTCATTCTTCCGTCGAATCGACGATATATTTCGCCTTTCCCTCTTTTTCTCTACTTAATAGAATCATTTCGCCAAGCGTACCGAGGGCTGTCGTGCCGAAATCGAGGCTCTCCTTGTCAAAGTGCAAAGTAGGACATATAATGCATCCCCTGTAAGACAAGAAAGCGACGTATCGTCAAAAGGAACATCGTCTTCCGAACGATTTCTCCCTAATCTTCGATCGTACAACGTACTTGATATGCAAGCTGAGCACCTCGAGGCTCTCTTTCACCACGAAATCGACCCTCTCCACGAAATCACCCTTACGATTCGACGAGAACGTTAAATTGAAAGATTTATGCTCGTCTGGTTGTAGCTTAAGACTGAGAGGTGTCACGTCGATCGTTCCGCCGAAATCGGTTGGTTTTGCCCTATAAATCAACGTGCCGGGTATGTGCCCTTTGTTCGCCACTATTATCTGAAACGATGGCATCGTTTGTTTCAACGATTTCTGATTTAATTCGAGTTTTTTCAGGTGAAATTAATACGAGCCGAGAGGTAAGATAGAGAGCTCTGATGGATCTGACGGATCTACGGTAGATTATACCTCGTAATTGTGCACCGAACACATGTAGATGTTCTCCAAACTGATCGTGAGAACGTTCAAGCGGAAAACCGGTCCTTTGCCTGTTCCATAAAGACTACAATAGAAGAACAGAATTTCGTGTATAACTCTTACAATCATTTGAACAGTCTCCTGTAAACTAGCCTTTTTTATTCTTTTTTATTTCTGTTTCTGTTCTTATTTCGCGATACTTTATTTTATTTTATTTCTTGTTACTGCTGTTAATTTATTTACAACCGATGTAACAAAGAGTATTTATCTTGTGGATATCAACGAATCGGTATTATTATTATTATATAGGGTAGTTGGTAACTGGTGGTACAAGCGAAAAGGGGATGATTCTACGCGAAAAAAGAAGTCGAAAATATAGAATAAAAATTTTTCGTTCGAGGCTTTGTTTTCGAGAAAATCGACTTTGAATTTTCGCTCGGTACGCGTGCAGTATGTCATAACGGATTTCACTGTAGCTCGTTGTCTCGATGGAGAAATTAAAAAAAAAAAAAGAAATTTTTATTCTATATTTTCGACTTCCTTTTTCGCGTAGAATCGCCCCCTTTCCGCTTGTACCACCAGTTACCAACCACCCTGTATGTTATTATTAAAATGTTATTGGTTTTACAATATTTTAGAGAATTATACTTGTCTTACGTCAGTGGTATTCTATCTTCGCGACCAGTCACTTCTAGATAGGCAGTACTGGTCACCTCGCCAACTTCCAGCGCACGAAAGAAAACTGTTACATCGGTGGACGATTGTGGCCAAATTTCAGCTTCCTAACAGATATTCGCCAGTAGTCATTTATCGAATAAACGTAAGTGGCACGTAAATTGTTGTTTAGAATCGAAAGAACTCGCCTCTGGTGCAAACATAAAACAAATATGATTATACTGAAAGGTTTCTTTCGTCAGAGACTCTAGCTCGTCCGTGTAGATACGTTGATAAACCAGCTGATGGATATCAGGGGTGCACACGTTATAATGAACGAGATCCACGCAACGATTAAGCTCGCTCTCATAAACCAGATGGAACAATTTCTTATAACTGCGGCAAAGTTGTTATTTTTCACTCTGCCATTATCTTCGTGATGATCGTTTTACTTACTGTTCTCTTCGCTCGTTATCCGCCTCGATGCTCTCGAGCTGCATCCACTTGTACTTGACGATATAATTGCTCCTGTTGTGGATCGTGAGAATCTTACTTCTTGATAGACCCAAGAAAGTATCTTCCATCCTGATGCTGCCTCTGTCGATTCGAACGGGGCAATTCTCTGTGGAGCATCGAAGTTCTATTCGCAGTTTTTCTTCTAAAAAAAAAAAAAAAATAAAAAAATAATAAAAAAGAAATAGGGCAATATCGGTACTTATCTAATCTTTCGGGTTGCCCTCCTTCTTTAAATACCAGTTTCGTATTCGAGAAAAAGATTTCCTTCGAAATCGCCAGTCTTGTTAGACAGAAAGTGTACAGTGAACTGAAGCGATTCTTCTTCTTCCATTCTACCCTTCGATGGCTCGATCCAGAAGCAAGGGCTGCAATTTGTTGCAATTATTTTTACCATTTCATCGTAATATTATTTACGTATGTAAATTAATGAGGCTTTCTGTCGCCCACGACTCTTTGAGTTAATTAACTTTGATCCATAAGATCGCTCAGGCTCTTACAACCTCCGCTTTCCACATTCTTATAACTCAAAATTCTTTGTCTCGATTAAAATAACACTAAACTTTCATTGCAAATGTGACATTTTTTTGTATTCGATGACACATGTATTTATGTCTCTGGCTCTTGGACTAATATATTTTATTCTTCTTATAGAACTAATGATGGATGAATTTTATCTCGTATATGAAATAAATGAAACATAAATTAATTACTTGTCAGTGTAAAGGGTGAAAACAGTTGAGGCACCTCCGATGTTGCGTACAAATATCGTTTTCGACGAGGGGATCTTCACGCCTGTCAGTGGTACTTCGATTCGATCAGGAAAGTCCAAAATTCCTCTCGCATTGATCGCTATCGATGTCATTGTATGTTTAAATTGTTCAATGTTCTACTTTCATGTAGAATCGACGTCGACACGAAAAGTCGAAAAGAAATTGCTCGGAAGATATTAATGGTTCTCAATATCTCACCTACTACTGGTACTATCAGATCTCCGCTATCAGTCGCGAATTTCAATTGATAATGGTAGTCTTGGTTCCTATCAGGCATGAACTTCACTCGATAGGAATTGGAAATACCTGGCGCAAGCATCGTCAAGTAACTGCTTCCACAGAAATCCACGGAAAAGAAAGGATCAGGCTCGTAAGAGCTTCTCAAATATCTTGGTACCTACGATTCACGAATAATCGAGTGAATCTTATGATTCTCAATTTTGATTTTATTAGCAAAAGAAACGTAAGATCGATCGTATCCTTGAAAATAGTTTTATGGCAATCTAATCGAGTTTTTCGTTATAAGAGCTTAAAATTACCGCTGACGCGTTTCGAACGGTCACTGTCACACTCAAAGAGATTCCTGGGGTGAACTGTTGAAATACGATAATACTAGGGCTGACTTCGAAATTGGAAGCCTCGAGTTCCATACACAATGGTAAATTGAATCTATTCTTCCATTTCAAAATATACTGCGTCATCTCGTCCGTTGTCATTAACATTTGTTTCATGTATTCTGATGGGCGGGCAGTATACTGGAAATATTCAATTGAATCAAATTCTGATCAAAATAATTGATGGGATAATATTCTTTGATAGTCATCGCAATGTAAATTTTGCGAAAATTTGCCAACCTCTTCTGCATCCTCGTCTTCTTTATATTGCGACTTCCGAATCAAACAGTTTACGATCTGCGTCGTATTAAATTTCTGAGGACCCCTCCATATATTTGTTTGATTGTCCTCGTTCATTTTTTCCTCGATATTTAAAATAATCTTCCTCTCGCGAATGATACTGATTGAAAATTCAGCAATTGCTCGTGCATATGTATGTCAATAATCAATTGTTCCAGTTCACGCTGCTATCGATAATCGAAATTCAAATATTACATCCGTTCTTATCTTGATCATTTTACATACTCCTCCTTGAGGACAAACTTCGCAAATTTTTTAATTAAGATCTAACTCGATCAGGAAGCGGCGAATCATGTCACCACTTGACGCTCCAGCCCTAATATCGTGGATGATATATAGATTGCGTTGGCTGATACGTCAAGCAGCTCTTTGGAGAGTTAATCCAAAATTAGTCAAAGTTTAACCGTCTGCGGAACAGCAGCTCTCAAACTTTGCCTACTTTACCTAATCGTCTCCTGCTTTTAATCACATTAGAAATTCATTTTGCACTCCTTCTAATATAACGGGAGGTAATGACGTTGACATTGTTCCTTTTGCACAAGATCCTCCATTTACTTTATAAAATAACAAATACCGTCAACAGACATTTACGATCACATTTATTTCCATGAAACGTCCATAAGTACAGTGTACAACTCTGAGAATCGGACTTATCAAAATCCCTCTCTAATATTGCACAAAAATTTCAGATATACGCGACAATTTTTCTCTCGTAAAGTATCGATTCTCCATTCAACCACGGAACACTATTATTCGCTTGAATAATAAATTGTTAAGGATGTTAATTAACAGCATGGATAGGGGTTGCAAGGTGGTACTGTGCAGCAAGGCGATGGGCAATAGGGTACGGTGGTGCAAACTGATGGAGGACGACAAATTTTATCGAGCATTTCGACGCAAAGTTTACGACTTATTCGTGCACAAGGTGGAGAAAGAGGAGATTCTGGAGGGTAGCCGACTGCCTTGGCGTAGGCTTTTAAGCAGCACAACGGAGGTGCTCGACAAGCAGGGGGTTGAGGAGGTGGTGGACAGCAAGGCATTTTTGATATGCAACAAGGATCGCAGTCTTCCTGATAACAGCACATCCCTGGACAAGGTCCTCGTGGACAACCTAGAGGCGGGCATCTGACGTTGCATACTTCCGGTTCGGGTTTTCTACAAAAATCGTTCATTCGAGATCATCGAATGATTGAAATTACTTTTCTATTTCATTATTCCTGTATTTTTTATTTTTTAAGAGGAATTTTTTAGAAAAGACTAACCGGCATCCGATCTCGTCAATTATTTCGAGCATCTCGTCCATGTAATTGCGGTACTTGCAGGGATCCATATTTGTTGGAGGATTAATTGATTGTTCACCGAGAATTTCATATATTTGTTGTTAATGCATAATAGCGAAAGCGATGAATTTTTATGTGAACGTTGGATTTAATGCGTTTTACTGTCAAATAGAAAGAAACAAAAGCGTAATCGAACAGTATCGATACGATATTGTGCGATCAACTTCAGCCACGGGTAATAGAGCAATAATGACGTTTTCAAGGGTTACGTTTTACAATTAGAAATTATTCGAGACGAGAAGAAAACCACTTTGTCGGTGAACAGCATCCTATTGGCAGACGGCAATTTGCTGATGAGGACGAAACGGCGTAGGAATGGCACAAACAATAGGAAGAAGAGAAGAAAGGCAGCGATTCTAGCAACGAGGATGTGCTTGACGTTGAAAGGGAACAACTATCCAGGATGAATGTCGAAACGCTCCTGGACAGCTTCGTTGCTATTCGATTCGACAGCTACTGTGAAACGCTGCCTATTACTTTCCCAAACTTTCCTTCTTCTCTCATTATAGAAACACAGTCGATCGTAAGAGTAATAAGACATTTTATTCTGAGAAATCATAAAGATCTAAACCACGTCCCTTGAAATTTATCAGATCAACGATCTGTTTCGTTCAAAAGACCTGGTTCACCATAAAATAATTAAAAAGGTCGCATATACAAAATCACAAATACAATAAACGCTCTTCTAAAAATTCACAAAGCACATATCAAACAAAACTGAAGTATAAAACAAAAATAAAAGAATCTCAAAAAGTTCGTATTACTAGTACATCATCGGGGGTTGCACGTGTCTGTTTGCAATCAGAGTTTCTGGTGCCACAATCTGCTGATTAGGTAAGTAGTCCTGCTTTCTCGCCAAATATCTCACACCCCCGATGGTCCTGGATTCGTGAATATCCGGTTGGCTGTAATACACCTTTTCAGGTAGCATCTTATCCTCCGCCATTTGTCCATTCATCGAACCATTCATATTTCCACTAGCGTCACCACCAGCATGATGGAAGCTTCCCTTATTCAGTTCTATCCTCTGGCTCGATCCGACATCGCCTTCGCCATTGTTCCTCCCTAAATTCTTCGTGTTTTGATAATACTGTTGCATCTGTTGATAGTGCTGAGGATAATTTCCATCGAACTTAAATGGCATTACGTTTCCACGATTTACCATTAGATTTCTCTCGACGTAAGGAACGAGACTCGTCGAATTCTGATCTGATAACTGTTGCTGGACTATCAATTGTGGCTGATCCGTGGCTACAGTGCCATTTTCTCTTTCAGCTTGCACGCTATAGTAATTATTTGGAATATTTGATTTCTGTCTGGGATATTCTTTCAAATATTCCTGTTCAATCTTCCTCGGGTTTAATAATCGTTGAGACGAAGGATTGTTCGGATTCCTCGAGTTGGCCAAACCATTCGCAGACACTTTGTTAGCAGGTGGCGGTGAAATAGACGTGATCAAACGACGCTGAAACTCTGTTTCTGCCTCGGTGCGATCTTGCAATCCGTTCAGCTTTATTATATTCATCTTCTTAGGAGCCAAATTAGCCAGATACTCTAGTCCTCTTCTGGTTTCCATCGGCAATCTTTCATTCTCCAGCAGCTCCTTCGCCGCTGCCGGATCCTGCAATCCGTTGTTTCGCCTCTGTGGCCGAATGTCGTTCTTATATTGACGCATTTTTAACAAACTACACGGCTCCGTAGACTGACTGGAAGATTGGACATGTTCTTGATTTTCTTGAAGAATAGGCTGATAAAGCTGCTGGTATTGTTGTAATTGAGGTTGATTATAGTACTGCTGATGAGATTGTTGGTGAATATACTGACTCTGTGGCATATTTTGTTGATAATTCATAGATTTCATCGGATCGTTCACATTGCCAGGTACTGGAACAGTGTAAAGTTGGGGATGCATGTTATTCGTGTAATTCTGTAAAGCCCTCTGTTGCTGCTGCCAATTAGCCTGTTGCTGTTGCCAGTGCTGATGGTACTGCTGATTCGCACCCTGAACAGGAACCTGCTGGCCAGACATTTGACCCATCATCTGCTGTTGCTGTTGCTGATGTTGCTGTTGCTGGTGTTGCTGTTGCTGGTGTTGCTGTTGCTGGTGTTGCTGTTGCTGTTGCTGTTGCTGTTGCTGATGTTGCTGATGTTGCTGATGTTGCTGTTGCTGGTGTTGCTGTTGCTGGTGTTGCTGTTGCTGGTGTTGCTGTTGCTGGTGTTGCTGTTGCTGGTGTTGCTGTTGCTGGTGTTGCTGTTGCTGGTGTTGCTGTTGCTGGTGTTGCTGTTGCTGGTGTTGCTGTTGCTGGTGTTGCTGTTGCTGGTGTTGCTGTTGCTGGTGTTGCTGTTGCTGGTGTTGCTGTTGCTGGTGTTGCTGTTGCTGGTGTTGCTGTTGCTGGTGTTGCTGTTGCTGGTGTTGCTGTTGCTGGTGTTGCTGTTGCTGGTGTTGCTGTTGCTGGTGTTGCTGTTGCTGGTGTTGCTGTTGCTGGTGTTGCTGTTGCTGGTGTTGCTGTTGCTGGTGTTGCTGTTGCTGGTGTTGCTGTTGCTGGTGTTGCTGTTGCTGGTGTTGCTGTTGCTGGTGTTGCTGTTGCTGGTGTTGCTGTTGCTGGTGTTGCTGTTGCTGGTGTTGCTGTTGCTGGTGTTGCTGTTGCTGGTGTTGCTGTTGCTGGTGTTGCTGTTGCTGGTGTTGCTGTTGCTGGTGTTGCTGTTGCTGGTGTTGCTGTTGCTGGTGTTGCTGTTGCTGGTGTTGCTGTTGCTGGTGTTGCTGTTGCTGGTGTTGCTGTTGCTGCTGTTGCATCATCTCCATTTCCCGAGCTTCTTGTTCCCTTCTTCGTTGCTCCTGTATTTTCTCGACTTGTAGGTAAGATAATCTCGTAGGCGTCAGATGAATCATCCATTCAGGCTTTTCATCTTCCTGTTTTCTTTTGCGATTCTTCACCACGAGCTTCGTTCCTTCCGAAAATTCTCCCTGTTGGTGTAAAACCTCCACGTACTCTAATAGCTTTCGTTGCTCGTTCAGTAACATCTCGAACTGTCTTTGCATGATCTCCAAGGGTACTCCTTGCTGCTTCATAGTGGCCAACAATTTTTCCTGATCGCGAATCATAGCGACAGTGAACTTCAAAGGCTTCTTTCTTCCAGTTTGTTCTTTTGGATGACTGTCTTGGGATTGCTGGGGATTGAACTGCTGAGTAGGAACCATTTGTTGATTGGGATTCATCTGCTGATTAGTTCCTGGCTGATTATAGCCCATCAAACTTTGTTGTTTTTGGACAATCGCGTTTCCCTGTACAGGATTTCTATACAACTGCTGATACTGATGCATAGGATGTTGCTGATGTACAGAGCGTTGCAGTTGCACAGGCTGTTGATGATGTATAGAGTGTTGCAGTTGCACAGGCTGTTGTTGATGTATAGAGTGTTGCAGTTGCGCAAGCTGTTGCTTATATTGAGGCATCAATTGCTGTTGTTGATTCTGTAGTCTACAGAGTGCCTGGTTACCATTTACCACGTCAACGTTGTAAGGTTTCAACTGGGCCTTAATGCTGGAATGTTCAGCCATCTGACTATTGTTGTTCCATCCATTTTGTACATTCATCGCGCTATGATTCGGTTGGCTTGATCCAATCATTCTTGAATTTTTTAATTGACTGGTCGCTACATCTTGAGGGGAAGTCATTCCATGACCAGGAAAATAGCTTCCATGTTGCTGAGGATTATAATTCGCAGGAGCTACTTGGCCTCCTACTTGCTGTTGATTCCCCATCATCTGCGTTTGATAGTTGTTAGCCCTCTGCTGCATCTGTTGCTGCTGTACCATGTTCTGCTGCAGCTGCTGATAAATCTGCTGAGGATTCTGAAGATTCGTGTGCGGTAAAACGGGACTACGCGAAGAACACTGATGCAGATGATCAACGTTAGGTGAGTTTAACGTAACAGGATCCATAGGATTCAGCAAGTTAGGCTGTTCTTTGTTCAGCATTGCTCGTCTGTAAGCCATTGCATTTCGGCCTCCTACCGGTTGTTTCTCGTAATCGACTTCATCAGCATTCGTCTGATCCTCATTTTTTATTTTTCCTTGATTCATAACCAAAACGTTTGAAACCTGCTGTATGCCTAGTTGCGACGTCGCTGTAACTTCAGGCAGATTGGAGGAAATCGCGTGGTTATTCTTCCGTGGAGAATACTCTCGCGATCCGTAGGGCACGAAAGGACGATGGGATTGAGCGTTTGAAACTTGTTGAGGCAGCGTACTCTCCGAGTGCGGATTCATCTGACCGATCTGATGGATCGCCTGCTGAGGCACAACCTGTTGCTGACTCACACTTTGCACGCCCTACGAAACGATTAATTTGTGCTTTAATGCGTCCAAGTTGGACTATTTGAAGATTGCATTTGAACTGGAAATACTGTTCGTGGCTAGGAAGTTGGATAGCAGAGGCAATACGAGTCTCATCGGTTATAGCATAATAGGATTAAACAAACGATCATTCCCTGGCGGAATCAGATTCTCAATTGTTCGTATTTCACACTTACGCTCGTTTTGGCAAACGAAAAACATTTGTTGCGTTTGTAATATAAAATCCTTTATGAGACACGACTGACTCGATTAAAATGAAGAAAGCGAAAGTTAAAATAAAAGATATCCAAATAAGGATAAAAAGACCTTTAAAGAACTTTAAGTGGATAAAAGAACTTTAAATGGTACAGTAACGTCATATTCCTCGATCAAAGTCTCCGTAACGAGATTGATAAAATTAAAAGGAAAAAGGCAAAGTTAATAAAACATTCTCATAGTAGGATATTCGGACAATCAAAAGCTTCAGATGTAATAGAACGACTTCACTTTCATCTATCGGTTCCCGCATGAAAAAATTGATAAAACTAGAAAGAAAAAATAAAAATTAATAAAATATCGACTTACCTGTGGCTGTCGGTGTTGATGAACATGCTGTGTGACCGCTGTAGCGTCACCTTGACCAGTGTCGCGACATTGCTCAGGATGTCCAGCCACGTACACGATTCCACATTCTCGAGGATCTTGCTGTGCGATTAAAGCACCTATTGGTTTGGGAGAAAAAGGCGGAGGACTTTCCAACTTTTTAATTTTCTCCGCAGGGAAATACTTGAGTCTCGGCGAGGAACACGACCTAGACTCTTTGCATCTGTCTTGAGAGCTAAACCTTGTCTTCGGCATAGAAACGTCCACGGCTTTGTTGATCAGTTTTGAAGGATCATTCGAATCGACGAGATTGTGCGTAGATGGTAATTTCTCGGTTTTAAAAAACTTTTGTTGCACGGTATTCGGTTTCGCGTGCAAACTGGCTGTGCTTGGCCGTCTGGACGATGCTTTCTGCCTGATGTTTCTATCCACTGAAGCTTTCCTGTAAGAAGGAATTTGTATCTCTTGATACAAATAACACGACAAAGTGGCGAAAGAATGGCAATCAAAAGCAGAAATCAATCGTTATTTCATCGCCACACATTTTATTTTTTAAATAGAAAGGACTGTTGGAAAACGAGGCTCGTAACGTTCTCCCGTAATTTCATGACAGATTTAAATAGTAAAGTAACTACTCTTAAATATTAAAAAAAAAAACTTCTGGTATAAAAAGACAGGGTTTATAAGATTGATTAATAGAAAAGAAGAAAATGTTAACCCCTGATTTACCGAATTGAAAAAAAATAAGGGACTTTAAAAGTTGTACCTTTTGTTCATTTTCGTTCGAAATTTTGCGAGAGTAATGGGAATATCTAGTGGAACATCATCTGTGATAAGCCAGGTAATTTTCTAGCTCGGATTTTGCATCACCGCCGAGGAAAATGGGAAACTCTGACAGCGAGATGTCAGTCCAGGTTTGAAAGTAAGCTGTGTTGTCATGGATACAGCTTATGGTTCGTTCTTAATTTCAAATTTATATCTAACTGAAGCAAGCCACACACGAATAAAACCGATCAACAATATTGAGGTTAATCATTTGACTTCTTTTTAATTAAGCACTTATCGTGTATCCTCGTAATGAAGGAAGATGTTATTACAGATTGAGCAGAAATGAACTTGTTCAGTTTGACTTCCGAGTACTTCAAATATAAAAATAACTTCCTGTTGATTTTGTTAATAAACGAGAAAAAAGAAATAAATATTTCTTGTAAATGAATGCGACTTAAATATTTTTACAATTTTTTATTATGTGTTGTTTACATAATTGTGTATTTCTTAGCTTCCCGTATTTTTCTTTGCGGCTACTGATAATGTCAATAGATGATGATATAACTTCGAAATTTTTATCTCAAACGTGATACGATAAAATCAGTCATCCCGTTGTCGCAACCGTACCAAAACCTTGACAACGTGACTTGATTCATAAAAAAAAATCACAGTAAAAAATGAATGGTACCTGTTTTCTATTGCGATCAACATTATCAAATGCTGAAGTACATCGTAATCACGTTCGTTTGTTTAACGATGATATTGAAAAATGAATATATTGCCAAACCGTATTGAAAAATATGCAGCAAATTCTCCCCGTGACCTTTCACTTTGCAAACGCACTTATTTTTAAGGGGGGAAAAAATACATGCCTGTGCATAGTAATTTTAGCTTGCGTGGGTCGAATTGCGGCTGATTTAAGATCGTCTAAAACTGAAAATTGGGAATAACAGATAAACATTTTTCTCGATGAAATCTCGATCTCTATCGCAAGAATGATCCTCGTTATTTTAATAATTTGTCATTCTAATGAATAACCTAACAAGGTAACGTCTAAATCGGTAAGTCACTTAATTCTTGGTAATTCTTAATTCGGTTGCGATGATCATCGAATTCCTCAATCGGGAAATAAAAGTTTGTTGGAAGACGTACTCGAGTGCAGTTCAATCCGAGATTACAACCAATCGGGGTCTCTTCGTCGTAAGTTTTGTGCCACTTCCGAGACAGTAAATCGATCATAATTAGGAACCTGTGTCTTAATTCGTTTTACCTGATCAGGATTTCTTCAACGTTGAAACAGTTCCATGTATCTTGTATTTTTATCTTAACTCGCAAAATTTTCTTCGAAAATTATATCTCTCTGTACCTGATATTTTCCTAAAAAAAAAAAAACAAAAAAAAGACAAAAACGTTATCTTCAGATACTGCTATAATTAAATGTAACTGAATCAACAAAACATTTCAAAAATCACCTATTTTCGTATCAAAAGTCAAATCCACGTATATATTCGTCGTTCTCGTTAGATCCCACACGCCTAGCTGTCAGATCCCAAGAAACCTTCCAACTCTTGCCTGCAGTTAACAGGGGGGATGAGACACTGCACAAAGAAAACCACAGCGTTGAACGTCAATTAATACATTCGTTTTCCTGAGGATCGTTCAAAAGTGAATGGTATTATGGCGAACTGACGGCAAACTGCACGACAAGGGGAGCAAGGTGGCGGAGTAGGCGGTGGACAGGGCATACAGGGGACCATTTTCTTGGTGCAAACGAACGCCACAGTTGGACAGGGCGGTGGACAGGGTGGCGGTGGTGGTGTACACGCAACGATAACCTTTGGTGGACAAGGAATGGCGCAACAAGGTGGACAAGGGGTACAAGGCCGTAGGTAAACCTAATTTCGAGGTGAGTTATTAAGTTAGCTCCGTGAAAACAAGCTACGTAAAGGACTTAATATATTTGCATTGTTGTTACGCGTTGCTCTTTGAAATTCTTGTAACGACGATAAAAGAGAGGAAGAATAAAAATTTGATTTGTCCCGTATTTTTATTTTTATATTTTGTTGGAACTCACTGTTGTTTTAGTTGGCTGAGGTGGGCAACGGGGTGGGCAAGGTGGCCTGCATAAAATAGTGGGTGGAGGGCAAGGTGGGGGGGAGCAGCATGGATTACAGCAAGATCGGCAGGACATATTTTCGAAACAACCTTCGTACGAAAAAAGGATATCATAGTTTAGATAAATAAGTTTAACAGAATCTTATTTATACTTAATATACTTGAAATAAAACTGTGAAGTAAAAAAAGTAATAGTTGATTAAAGTTCTATATTTCATCAAATTTGAGTCCTCTGCGTCTCTTGTCGAATTCGAATTATCTAAATTGTATTTTAAACCGCATTATAAAATCGATTAACTGCTAATAAGAGAGACTTTACTTGATTACGCTACGGCACTAACGGGATACGAGCTGATTATGAGGAGTTAAGTCGATATTTCCATGCGATGTCCGTGAGTCTGCATATTGTCGTCGATCCCCTGACGATGGACCAGGCCCAATCTAACGAGAAACGGCGGCATTGGTGTGGTTCGACGTCTATTTCGGACCACTTGAAATTTTGTCGATGGACGAACGAGAAGCCTAAACGGTGTGACGTATTATTTGCTTGTTTAGTTTGCCGGTTGCCTAGACGATCTGATCTTTCTTTTGTCAGCCAGTCGTTCTATTCTTTTTCAGCGGGAAAATAGCATGTAAAATCACGGCTATTCGACCTTATTTCTCGTAACGATAATTCTGTGAAAAAATTTCATGTTTTCGCTTAATTGATACTTCCGTAATCTGCATGCGTATATTGATATTATTAATATCAATTAAATTAAACGATTTCTAATGGCTACTATCACGACTAATTACAAAATCAAATTCGAAATAATTCAAGATGATATATTGATATTAATTTAAGGAAAGAAAATAAAAGACAGAGAAAACGAAAAAGAGGTAAAAAGAAGGAAAAAACATAGGGAAAGTTAAAAGTCAGAAAAAGAGAGATAGAGGAGGATGACAAGAAAGGGGCGAAAAAAAGAAAGACGAGAAGGAAAAAGAGAAAGGATAGCATTGCAAGTACGAGATCGTTCACGTGAACTGTCGTTCGTCTACCTCGAGTTGCAACTTAATACAGTCTCTCTGAAGTATAAGGACCGTTCGGAAAGAAAACCAGGATAGGCGCGTAAACTAGGAGGAGAAATGAGTGTTTTCTTGACGAAATTCTATTACAGACTGACTAGTGGAAGAATAATTGAAGTTAGACATATTGCTGGCGATGGGTAATCGAATTACCTCACTTTTCTCGAGATGCCAAGGGTAGAGAGAATAAGTAATTGGTGAGGGCATATGCCAAGGAAGGAAAAGGTCCAACTTCTACGAAATGGTCCACAGGTAGAAAGATAATAAAACACCCTGAGTTTAAGGAAAGAAAGGGAAGGTACAGTAAGGCCGGGGCCAGCGTTAAATCGACGCTGCGTTGCGTGGCCTGTGTTGTAGAAATGTACGCACACGCGAGCACTGTGGCACATTTAGTTGTGTGACACGTTGTGTGAATGCATTTCTACAACACAGGCCACGCAATACATCGTCGTCGGTTCAGCACTCGCGTAGCCCTGGCCTAATTCCAAAAAATCCAAGTCGTTGAGGTTTCCTTGGTTATAAACGGTCGCTAATTACTTAACCAGTTAACTGGGGAATTTGATTTTAGAAATCTCTCACAGGGTTAGGCCGTGGAATGCGTAAATGAATACAAGCAACAACGAGTACAAACGTACCGAAATAAAGCTTTTGTTTGACGTGTATACTCGTCAAACGCAGTTAACCGGTTCAATTATTTTTAAAGACTCGATGACTTTATCATCTTGCTGGTGCGCTGCAACAGATAGAAAAGCTATCAAAGGAGGAATTTCCTTATTGCTAAGTATCTATCTTTGCTTCTGCTTCATCAAAGTTAAAGCAGTAATTAGCTAATGTATATTAAGTAACGTAATGTAATTAACTATGCATTAGCCGACTGTAAATTTTCTATAATTCAGTGAAAACTTTCGACCGTAAATATTTTATACCTATTTTGTATAGTCTTCTTACAAATTTCTAACTATAAAAACATTTTAAATTTTAATCAATTAACCTTATAGGAATATCAATTAACCTTACAGAACGCGCGATTGATCTGTAAGTTACATCGAAAATCTTTTTTAATTATCGGACCAACTTTTGGAAACACTTTATTCTTTATTACATTGCGGCTTCTTTTTTTTGTAAATAGTCATTAATCACTTGTTAAAGTGTGACGTGTGTTTCTGGCACGTCTAAATAGAATTGTTAAGCTAATTGTCCTTCCATTACATCACGCAGAATCCAGGCCCATTCGGTGGTTGCGCCGGAATTCCACGCCTGTTCATGCGACAGGCATGCTCCTCGAGGCGTTGAGCAGCCTTGTATTCGTCTGGTTTCGTACTGCTCCAAAGACGCTCTGCAGCTGCGCTAGCACGAGGCCATATTCTCGAATGCACATTGTTCCTAGAAACAAGAACATCAATTTTTCAATTACCCATTCGACGGATAAATCGTACGTTACTCGAATCAATTGAATATATTTTAAAGTCTTATCCACATGGATTCAAGTTCAATTAGACGCGACGAAAGAACAAATAACTACCTGTCGACAAATTCTCCCCACATGCAAGCTTCGCCACCCAGCATCAATTTAGTTAAGTTTGATGACACCCCGGCGAACGACAATGGGTCACATTTGTAGAACTTCTTCCAGTCACCGCCACCAGCGATATGATCCAAATACCAACAGGCTGATAACAGTACCGGATGTCCAGCTTTGGTCGCGTTCTCCAACTTCTTCGCCCACTGGCCGGTCCACACGTGCACCACAGTACTATTCGGCATGACGACTCCATTTTCGAATACCTGAAAACCAACAACGATTTAGATCTCAATTCACTGACCTGGCTTCTGCTTCATTTAACGCCAATGCAAACGACCAATAAATTTGCTTTGGGACACTTATCACGATGGAATATTTGCTGTCGTTTGATGTTATGAAAAATGAATATTCTTCTGTACGACCGATCCAAGCAGTAAACGATATCATCGTCTAAAATATACCATTTATTTAACGTGTTTTCCACTTGCGGAACGTCCGTTGGTGATAAAACGCGATCGTTTCATTTGCAATCTCACGCACGAAGCAATCACAAGGCGAGCGATTAATAGGTTCACTATCGGTTTTTATTACCCGGTCGTCTTCAGCTTCGTTTTATGAGACGAACAAACACCATAGGGTGATACTTTACCTCCTGCCACACGATCGTGCTCGTCTGAAGAGAATTGGTGATATGAAGAAGCTTGCCGATGTACTCGCTCTCGAGTTGCGTATAGCTGGACATGTTGTGCGATTTCATATACGAATTGATCACCGGATTGCTCATCCAACAATCGAATGGCACTTCATCGCCGCCAAGATGAACGTATTGATCCGGAAATACCTGCACGATCTCGGCGAATAAACGACTGAGGAACTCGTAAAGCTGCGGACTCGTCGGATTCATTGGGCCCAATTTCCCGTTTGCCTTTCCTTCGTTATCTAATAATATTTTTCATACGACAGCTTAGAAATTTTACCGTTTTTCGAATGGTTAAACGATTAGTAATAGAGAGATTAAACAATAATAAAAAAGTGAAAAGACGGATTAAAAAGAGAATTTAATAGACCTACACGTGTATGTACATATATTATCCTTGAAAAGTTTGGAATCATTAATTATTATAGTAGTATCGAGGAATTTAAATGGAATATTAATTTAAAATTTGATAATTGTGGAAAAATTTTTTGTCAGAAATCGATCGAAGTATAATGTATTTACCGTAGCAAGTGGTCAATAGTTCAGGATGAGCTAAACCCCATGACCTAGTATGTCCAGGAGTATCGAATTCCGGCATCACTCGGATGCCCCTTAGCCTGGCGTAGTCAACGATCGTCTGGATATCGTTTAATGTGTATACCATTGAGGGATGGTACGCTCCCTTGGCGGACAGTTCCGGATAACTGGAGCTCTGGTAAGGGAAGCTGTTGTCATCGACGATGTGCCAGTGAAGAACGTTCATTTTATTATAAGACATGGCGTCCAGAGTAAGCATTATATCAGAGATGGGCAAATAATGGCGAGACGTGTCTAACAGTAGTCCACGATGAGGAAACTTTGGAGCATCCTGAATGCTCTGACATCTGATTTTCAACTACAAAAGAAACGCGTGCTTATAATACATTTTTCATATTTATTCATTTTCTATGCACATACTTACGTGAGAACCATTACCAGCTGGGATTAAGAGCTGAGAAAAAGTCTCGAGACCTCGAAGAACTCCCCATATCGACGCACCTAGCAGATTCGCGACTGTAGAGTTTTCGTTGATCACGAGAGCGTCTGCGAAAGTTCAATCGATTCGAGTTTAAATCTGTTCGGAGAAGACGCATCTCTTCCTACCGATGTTTGCGAGAGTCGACCGAACTTTCAGGTCTATCGTAGTACTTAAAATTTCTATCAAGTTCCTGTTAGGGGAACCTTGGAACTCCGTGGAATATTTATCGATCCTTATCGTGACTCGTTCGTTTCATTCAAAAAGGAAAAACGAAGACGAAAGAACTATCGCGTGTAAAAGATTTAAATCTTGCACAATAATGGTAGAATGTGCGTGCGTATAATCTTCACGCTACTTCTGCAGTTAATCGCTCGGTTCGACTCTCAAGCAGAGTTAAATAAGAAACGATGAAGAAAAATCAGGCTTCGTAACCTGGCTTTGTTTCGATCGTCCTATTGACTCGTTTATTCGCGTATCATTAAACGTCTTTCTAATATTTGCAGTTTTTGGATACTTGTAAGCATCTTGCCTCTCGAAGCTTTCGTGATCTCGTAATTGTATCATTGACATTCTATGTTATCAGTCGAGAGATGAAATAAAAAATGACGATGTTATTTAATGAGATCCATTCGCACTAATCCACTTACCAGCTGTCTTAATGACTTAACACAACTGTTCGGGAACATGTTGCTTATGTTACATCAAGTTTCTTATTAAGAATGCACGATCATTTTGCTACTTTCCGTTATAGCAGAAGCACTTACATGATTCCGACATCTCTAAATGAGGCCAGTGATTGCCATCCATCTCGCAAGGCATTGTCACGTGAATATCCAAAGCGCTGAGAGTACCTTTGATGGTTGTATCGTCTCTTACTGGGAATTTAGGATGGCCTTGCGACGAAATCTTCGCTATTCGTGCTTCCGTTAGAATAATTGCCTTGTACCTCTCCACCGCATCCGTCATAATATCGCATGCGCCGCCGATCACCTGCGAAACCGATTCACTTCAATTTAGACAAAATAACATTAATTGTCCATTTGAAGCCATAATTATTGTAGGAAACCTGACTTTGCATTCCCGCCGTACGTCACACAGATAAATCACGCGCGTAGTATAATTAAGATAACGACACAGAGAGTTATCTGTTATCCGCAAATGCGGATACATCGAAAACGATACAAGTTAGACTAAAAAACAAGACAACGGAACAAGATAGCGAATATTTACAAGCACGTTCCGACTATGAAATTAACTTTTTATAAAAATTTGCACGCGCTTGGGCCGAATTTCCACGGGCGAGTCCCCCAGTCAAAGGAAACCTGTTCCTGGAAGAAGATACCTCTACGCTTTGCTATTCGCTTCCTACTGAGGGAAGCTCCGCTATCATAAAGCCATAAAATGCAACAAACCTACAACTTTCGTCCAACTATCATAGACTCTACAATCAACGAACAAGTCTTTTGGAGCCAG